AAAGTGCAGGGTTTTTGATTGCCTGGCATCTGCGTCAATCGAACAGTGACAGTTCAACAACATGCCAAGATTTACAGAAGTGCAAAGAAACAACGTCATTGGTCGATTGCAGGCAGGGTAATCCCAATCAGGTGTAGCCAGGGTTTCAATGTAGCGCCCAGCACCATCAAAAGGCTATGAGATCGTTTTCAACAGCATGGGTCAACACATGATCGGCTAAGGTGGGAACGACCAAGAGTAACCGCCCCCGCCCAAGATCGCTACATCAGACTGCGCCACCTACGTGAAAGGACGACCACAGCCACCTCATACGCATCCCAAATACCCGCACTGCGCAGAATCTCCGACCAGACCGTACGAAACCGTTTAAGAGCAGCAGGTCTACAAACAAGACGTCCTGTTCGACGCGTCATATTGAGTCGAATACATCGTCAACATCGACTGCATTGGTGTCGTCAACACAGGGTATGGCCTCAACTGCGATGGAGAGATGTCTGGTTCAGCGACGAATCAAGATTTTTCCACCGTCGAGGGGATGGAAGAGTACGGGTCTACAGACGTCGGGTAAAACGTTACGCCGGAAACTGCGTACAGGAAGTGGACAGGTTGGTGGGGGTAGCGTTATGATTTGGGCGGGTATCTCTCATCATGGCAGGACAGGTTTGGTCCATATCCAGGGCAATCTAACGGCTCAACGGCATTCTCCTACCACACGTCCTCCCAATTGCAGCCAACCGCAACGGTGTATTCCAGCACAACGCTCGACCGCATACTGCACGGATCACAAGAGCCTGTCTACACAACAACAACGTTGATGTTCTCCCCTGGCCCTCCAGATCCCCGGGTTTGAACCCGATAGAGCACCTGTGGGATGAATGTCTACGCCGACGTCAACCACAACCCCAGACGTTGCAGCAGTTGGCTTTTGCGTTGCAGGCCGAGTGGACTACCATTCCCCAGGATGGGATTTGCATACTCGTCTCTTCCATTGGCAGGAGATGTCAGGCCGCTATCGATTCCATCGGGGGACATATGCGTTATTGACGGTACCTGACCTTCACCTTCCTATGTACCGATAACTGAGATGACTTCAATCACCAAGTATTCTCTCCACAACATTTTGGCTCAATACCTTGTACGGTTCCTCGTATAAATGTATTTTCCTACCTCACACATATCTGACTTTGCGTTTCTTTTTTTGAAGACTTTATTATTTCACACTTTATTCACAAAAGAACCAGCAAAACAAAAGGTCCCCAAAAGCGAAACTTGCAACCAGTGGAAATGTGTCTTTCATTTAGGAAGCGACGCAACCAATCATATGCCTTCTTGTACAAAAACAACTGTTGGGGTAAATGAAACACACATCAGTATTCCGCTAGGTATTATAATATTGATAATGTTACTTATTATCATTCAATTCCAATATCCAATGCATTTTCTCTCAAATCGGAAAATACTTAAGCAAAGGAGTGTTTGTCCCCCCCCCCCCCCCCCCCCCCCCAAAAAAAAAAGAAAGAAAAAAAGAAGAAGAAAAGTAATGGCACCTGAATTTGTTCATGAAGCCAAGTAGTAATGTAATTTGGTACATGTGTATTAAGTAATGGAATTCAACATATATATATGTTCTGGGTTGTTTTCATTATTCAATTTTTTTTACCTTTTGACAATGCTTTTAAATTCTCTCAAAATTTAACCTTCTTGTGCTCTGAGATTTGAGATCTTAGCTGAACCTCGACATGCATATGTCTCCTTATAAGACATGATCATACCAGTATTTCGTTCAAATTAGATTTTAGCGTTACTATTTGTAGTATTTATGCAGAACATATCTGAATATCACTGCTGAACTGTTGTTCAGTGGCTGTGTTTGGTTTTTTAAACCGGTAACTACAAATCCAGTTGAGTCGCATAGCCCATACCGACCCTGGTTTTGTTGAAACAAAAAACAAAATAATATTATAATGAAGGGCCTTCATTTTATTTTGGTCCTACCAAATATAGTTTTATAGAAAAGAAAAGAAAAGTAAACCAATGTATATATAAAGAGCTCGTATTTTGACTCCTTGGTGATATGAAACATTAAGCATAGGCACATTCTCTCTTTCATGGAATCATCAAAAGTCTCAGAAGCGTCCCGTTACCATGGTGCGTATGTATTTTCCCTCAAGGACGCAATTACAATTATCATACCTCCATGGCAGAATGATGAGATCTGATTGGTCCACGTAAATCTTGATAAAATACTGTATATCTCTTATACCCCGCCACGAGCAAATCAGGTTTAACGTCGATTTCTGAGAGACAGAATAAATCCTTTACACACCACATCAAAGCAAGAAGCCGCACGCTTTTTCCGAGTCAATGGAAGTCACGTGATAGCTGTATTCTATCAATGTTTGAATTATTTTTACAATATCATATTAAAACATGTCGGTAAGATAAATTCGTTGCAGCAGGAACACGAGGGGTACATGGGGTTTTCTGCGTATCTCGTTAGGTTTTGTACCACTCACCTCGGGCTCGCTCTTATAAAACCGAACGCGGGACGCATAAAACCCCATGTACCCCTCGTGATCCTGCTAAAACATAGTATATCAGCACTTCATAATTACACATGTCGCACATGTCATGTCAAAATGAAATTTGCGTCTTGATTATATATATATATAATTCAATGACCTCCGTTGTGAGTCTTTTTCTCTATAGTAATATATACTGAACACCAAAAGAAACGCGAAATCTTCAAGTTCCTATTTAATATGGGAAAATGGTTGTGAAAACGGTTGGCTGCTATGGTTCCATTGTAATGTGCTTTAATTGTTTCAAAATGACCCTAACCAGAGTTAAGGGCAGTGAACTCTTAATCCACAGCGCTCAAACGCACCGACGTTGAAGTCAGTGTGGGATGGATACGCACGAAATGCACGTGCTGCTTATGCCGCGAAAACTGTCCGTGAAGATGTTGTCTTTAAAAGCCACGAAAGTGTCACTGTGAATCATTCACTCATCAACGTCAGTGACAATGCCACGACTGTCACAGATGGATCGAGAGAGAGCTATTGGGCAACTTCAAGCTGGTGAGAGTGTTCAGAGAGTTGCAAACACCTTTAACGTCCACGTTTCCACCATCTACCGTCTGCAGGAAAGATTCCAGACAACCAACAGCACCAGAGACAGGCATCGTACCGGCAGACCACGTGTGACAACACAACGTCAGGACCGTCACATTCACAGGTCACATCTGCAAGGACGTTTCCTGTCGGCCAGTGCAACTGCTAGGAACGTCGTTGGAAACCACGGGAGGGCTGTAGGTTCCAACACAGTAAGACGGTGACTTCGTGACAGAGGGCTTCAGTGTAGGCGAACATCACAAGGTCCTGTTCTCACTCAACGTCACCGTCTCCTGAGACTACAGTGGGCCCAAGCACGCTTGAATTGGCGTCATCAGCAGTGAAGAAGAGTTCTGTTCTCGGATGAAAGTCGGTATTGTGTTGATCGTGCCAATTGGACGTGTTAGAGTATGGCGACGTCGCGGTGAGCGCTATCATGACCAGTGTGTCCTTGAACGGAACTCGTTGGGTGGTCCTAGTGTCATGGTTTGGGGTGGAATAGGGTTAAATCAGAGAACTGACCTTGTAATCTTTCAGAACGTTGGAGCTGGTAGGGGCAATGGTGTCACTGCTCAGCGTTACATCGATCAGGTGTTGAGGCCCCATGCAGGTTGTACCGTTTCTTGCAAGACATGGCAACTTCCAATTTCAACAGGATAACGCTCGTCCCCACACCGCCAGGATTAATCAAGCCTTCTTGCAACAGCACAATATCAACACCATGCCCTGGCCGGCTCTTAGTCCTGATCTCAACCCTATTGAACACTTGTGGGATGAAGTGCAGAGACGTTTGAACATGGCGCGTCCGAGGCCAAGGACAGCTGCACAGCTAGAGGTTACCATCCTGCAGGTGTGGCGTCACATCCCCATGAACAGTATCAAACGTCTTATTCACTCCATGCACAGACGGTGTGTCGCGCTTGTGAATGCAAATGGGGGCCATACCAGGTAGTGAGGCGTACCCATACTTCAGTTGACTTCAGCATGGTCACGTGGTGTTGTGTTGATGGATACAGAAGATGTCTGATGTACAGAGAACTGACTCTTTCCTATTGCTAATGAATTGTGTTGTATCCATCATTATTATGTTTATACCAGCTGAAACAAAATACATCATGTTTCCTATACCTTCTTGATTCGCGTTTCTTTTGGTGTTCAGTATATTAATAAAGTCACGAACATGGTTTCTTAAAAATATAATGTCTTTGCACATCACAATTAATGATATTAAAAAACAAAACTGTGCCGAATAACAAATTTCTGTAGAGATCTACCAGAATGTACATGTGAAATATGTGAGGTGGATGTTGAAAAATCCAAAATGGCAGTAACTGACGGTAGATTTCATGTTAGGCCAGATACAATCATCTTGGGTCCCGTGAAGATTCCGGGTTAAAATTGGTCGTCAGCAATCCATGCTTGTCGAAAGAGGCGACTAACGGGATCGGGTGACTCGCTGACTTGGTTCATGCACGCCATCGTATCCCAATTGCGTAGTCTAGATCGGTGCCCATGATGTCAATCACTGGATTGTTTGGTCCAGACTCGATTATTTACTGACCGCCGTCAATTAGCTGGAATATTACTGAGTGCGACGTTAAACAACAAACAAATAAACAATCATCTTGGATCTTTACTGACGGTATACTCACTCATACGGGGTTTGTAGTTCTGCTCACTGATTGGTCAATCTCATCTTGAGGCATCATCAAGTGTCATTGGATGGTAGCTATATTATCGCGGTAGTTAATTTCACCAAGGACGTAATTACAAGTATACCAGAACTTCATATTGACATGTTAACTTTTTCTATCTAATGTTTCACACAAAACAATCTGTGGTACAGATTCCCAGAAGTTGCCTAGTAAGCAGAGGTCAATGAAGAAGGGCATTGCAAGAGTTGTCTTCTCTTGATTGTATTCACTTCCGTTTTGACAATGGCATCTACGAAAGAATGCAGACCTGTATAACTGCATAAATGATGTTTTTTCCATTGGTTAACGAGAAAAAAACATAACACGGTAGGTAAAATAACTCCATTCTTTCTAACATATTGATTGCTTCCATGATAACTTACTAAATATCTAGTCAAAGGCGGTCTATTCGTAACGCTCAACAGTTAGGCTGCTGCACCTCAGTCTCAGAGGTCGAGCAGACGTGAATTTATTCTGTTCGTGTAAGATATCTGAGTGAGATTCCTGGGTCCTGTATTCCATACATAACCACCTTCCAAACTGGTGTTCAAAGGCGGATTTGAATCTTATGATGCCAGTTTTTGGTTAATGTTACTTATTACCTCAATCTTTTGTCGACTCAAAATATGTACTAAAATGGCAGCATGTACTGAAAGGTAGCATGGTACGCTATCTTGTCGCGGCAGTTATTTAATAATGGATCGTAATGGCGCAACCATACTAACCTTTTAAATATGTCATACGCAAAATGTTTCTTGTCCTTTGTTCAACATTTATGACATGAAATAAGGATTGATTGAGGCTGATTTTCTTTACCGAGTTCGAGCGACTCAAGGTTAGGTAACTCTATATTTTCGTGTTATCACTATCTTATGGTGTGGAATATGTGGTTTACATCATTTCCAGTTTTGGATTATGCATAATTAGTATGCATATAACCTAGGTTGGGTCAGTGGACATTGTTCAAACAAATGGGTTCTTTTCTTACCCAAATGGAGGTAGGGGTAATATCACTTCAAAAATCTTCCAGAAAGTATCATAAACATGTAAAGAATTAAAGTGTATAGTTATGAGTAGTCGTGACATACTGCAACTAGACCTGTTTTCGATCAAGTGATAAAATATCGTGCTTATATTTGCATAAGTAAACAGTCGGCAGAGGGTATGGGTTACGAGATTTACCGATAGGAGTAGTGGGACGATACACCGATGCATTGGTGGATCGTAATTTTTTACTTCTTGATGTAAGTATCAATCACAATCTTACACTAAGTAAAAGGTATCTATTCTTACCGTATATGTATTCTTTTATTAATGTTTCACCAAACACCAATTATAAGTGAAAATGAGTCGTGAAAAAGTAAAAGTAAATCATTAGTGTGCCAGATATTTGGCCATCCTTTATCAGAAAGATGGCTTACGCACCACAGATAGAAGCACATGCACGTATTGTGATACATATCGGATCGTGAGCAAGGTATCGTGATACATATCAAATCGCACAGTTGGTGTACCATCCAAGCCCCAACCAATACCGCGATAATATAGAGCCCATGTTACTATAGAGTCATACTATACCTGTGCCAAGAACAACATCCAATAGCTGTGTGAACTCCTAGTTATTCCAATGGTCTAGCCTTGATAGGTCTTGTATTCTAGTTCAATGATCATTCTGGCTACCCTCACATCATATTGGTTGTTATCACAGGGTTTCCCCAGACGCAGAATTCTTGCGTTTATGACTCTCAATTAAGGAAAAATACATCCAGAAATAAATGACTGCGTCATGACTGACGCAATTTCAAAATATCTATGTTCATGATGTTGTTGTTTACCAGCTTTGGAATTAAAATATTACAACTACTCACCTGAACTTAATTTATAAACATTTTCCGAAGACAATATATGCAAACGTCTTAAAATTTACGTCTTGTTTTTAATTAATCGTCGTTTTTAGAAGTAACATAACTTCACATAACACCACTGCCACGGGCTTATTTGCATAGCCTGTCACATCACCAGACTTTTCTCTCGTTTTAAAACAAACGCTAAAATCAGAACAGCCAGGGGCTTTACCATATTGTTTTGCATAATTATATAGATATGCTACTAAAACTGTGCGACTATGAGGTACACGACAAAATATATTTATTCATCAAAGTGAACGTAACTCTCACACTCCGTGTGGCTTCGATGACAGCATATGATGTAAACAAAGGAAAACTACGCAAATGGACAAGGTTTTTCATGTTCGGCATATTTTCTCACTAAAAGTTAACCATGACATATGTTTATCTAGATGTGTAGACTCGTAAAAAATGAAACAAAAGAAAATATTATCATTGTTGCGGTGAATAATGTGATTTGGCGCGGCAACAGTTTGTGGTTAAGCAGAACCTATGGAACGGGGTAAACGGAAGTTGTAAGTATCGGAGGGACACATGTTTTTGCCGAAATTAAGGTAAACATTATTGAATGAAATTTTAAATAAAATTAATAAAATAGATGACAAACATAAGGTCAGATATACCGAGAACACATTTTTATTAACAGATAGTGTAACAACAGGATTAACTTGGGTAATTCAATTCGGATTTGTTATGCTATTTCCGATGACAGATCATGACAGCCTGAAATGAGACTGAAGAAAAGTCTGTGCGTATTATACACGAGAGATATTTTTTTCAGGATTTAATTGCCCATAATTAGGGGTGCGTATTATACACGAGTGTGTATTATACACGAACAAATATGGTATATACGAAATGTAAAGCTTTGGGCGTGTTTGTTGTTGCTAATAAACTGTATTCAACCGGAAAATATTACGAGTGTTCACAATTCTTCAGTTCAACTTCACTGTTGATAGATAATACAAGATAACTGGATAAAAGATGTAAATGAGTTAGTGGTATTAAATTATAATCTGACATGAAATGTATTTTAATATCCATCCATGATTAAAAATTATGTCTCACAGTTGAGACTGATGTTATTTATTCATCCTGTATAAGTGTCATTGTAAATTGTTTCATGAGCGGTGAAGTAATTAAAGAAAAAAATAAAACCAACAAACTTTGTTTTTCATTCATATATCCTTTATTTCTCTGTAGTACAATCAGCTGAGAACATTAATTAGCACTTGTTAACTTAAACAAAAGACATATAATATTTAAAAGATACTTAACTTTAAGTGTAACACAAAAAACTCTCAAAAAATATTTTTGACTCCCAAAAATTCATAGGCTGAGTCAAGGTGACTCTCAGATATTGGAGTCTAGGGGGAACCCTGTTATCATGAATGTATCTAGGATTCTAAACTAAGTGCCCTTGCATTTTGGGAAAATATTATTTTTTTCAAAATTGGGATTTTTTAAAAGTTCTTTATTATATTATGACTTTACATTAAATGAAATACTGTACAGTTTAGCATTCCATGTTTCTCTTTGGTGGTCCGGTAATCAGTATATCATAGTTGTCACCTTGACTTAAGCCATCACAGGGAAATTTGTAATTCCCATTTGTTAATTTATACTAACCATGCTAACATTTGCTGCACTCTTGAAACCAAATACTGGCTTCTGAGCAGGTCTAGTTATATATTTTATAGCCCAAGTTTATTATAATATATATATATGATATGAGCAAGGTTCACTCTAGAAATTTTCTGACATGGGTCCTTTTTCTGAAAATTTCAAATATTCCAGAAGTTGCCTATACAGCACAATGTTAAAATGCCCCATTGTCTTTGAAAATGTGGGCATTTTTTCCAATTAAGGGGCTAAAAGCACAAGGCCCCACCCTAGAATTATCCATGTATGAGCATATATGAAATATGATGTACAAATGTAGCTGGTATGTTCAATTTGATGTACAAGATTATTATCCCCCGCCGCGCGAAAGCGCGAAGCGGGGGATATAGTATTCACGACCGTCCATACGTACGTCCGTACGTCCGTCCGTACGTCCCACCTGTTTGTTGCCGCGATATCTCAAGAACTAAACACTGGATTGTCTTCATATTTGGAACTATGGTGTATATACAGACTCCGCAGACACCAGTCGGTTTTGGTGACCTTGATCCCATTTTCAAGGTCACAGCAGACAAATCTGCTTTTAGAGTTGGAAAACGGTGTTGCCGCGATATCTCAAGAACTAAACACGGGATTGTCTTCATATTTGGAACTATGGTGTATATACAGACTCCGCAGACACCAGTCGGTTTTGGTGACCTTGATCCCATTTTCAAGGTCACAGCAGACAAATCTGCTTTTAGAGTTGGAAAACGGTGTTGCCGCGATATCTCAAGAACTAAACACTGGATTGTCTTCATATTTGGAACTATGGTGTATATACAGACTCCGCAGACACCAGTCGGTTTTGGTGACCTTGATCCCATTGTCAAGGTCACAGCAGGCAAATCTGCTTTTGGAGTTGGAAAACGGTGTTGCCGCGATATCTCAAGAACTAAACACTGGATTGTCTTCATATTTGGAACTATGGTGTATATACAGACTCCGCAGACACCAGTCGGTTTTGGTGACCTTGATCCCATTGTCAAGGTCACAGCAGGCAAATCTGCTTTTGGAGTTGGAAAACGGTGTTGCCGCGATATCTCAAGAACTAAACACTGGATTGTCTTCATATTTGGAACTATGGTGTATATGCAGACACCAGTCGGTTTTGGTGACCTTGACCCCATTTTCAAGGTCACAGCAGGCAAATCTGCTTTTGGAGTTGGAAAACGGTGTTGCCGCGATATCTCAAGAACTAAACACTGGATTGTCTTCATATTTGGAACTATGGTGTATATACAGACACCGCAGACACCAGTCGGTTTTGGTGACCTTGACCCCATTGTCAAGGTCACAGCAGGCAAATCTGCTTTTGGAGTTAGAAAACGGTGTTGCCGCGATATCTCAAGAACTAATCGCTGGATTGTCTTCATATTTGGAACTATAGTGTATATACAGACACCGCATACACCTGTCAGATTTGGTGACCTTGACCCCATTTTCAAGGTCACAGCAGGCAAATCTGTTTTTGGAGTTGGAAAACGGTGTTGCCACAATATCTCAAGAACTAATCGCTGGATTGTCTTCATATCTGGTACTATGGTGTACAGGCGGGGGATATTTCGTCACTCTGTGACAAATACTTGTTTATTTTAATGTGACATTGTAAAATCTTGAACATCCTCCTAGCTATTATGACACTGTGACATATGTTATGTTATGAATCAATGTAGGCCATTTAAAACAGCACTATAGATAAAAACTTTATTACTAATCTCACATTGAAGGGTTGCCCAGCATCTTACTGTGCATGCTACTCTTTCTAAGTTCCGAGTACTGGGTCAGTATGTGTTGCACTGAGGTAGATACAGTGAGTATTATTTTACTTGTCCAAATCTCATAAGGACTTGTGGTTGTTGTGGAATTACTAGATCTTTTAAAAAAGCTAGTTGTCCTTCTGATTTTCACTGGTCATCATGTGTGTGCATGCACAAGTTGACTGGTGGTCATGTTTTAACGGGACATGCTTGAGTACAGTGCTCTTTACGAATTGGACAAGTTAATCCATCACTGGTACAGAATGGTGATCCATTTGCCTGACCTAACTGAAACTTTGTTGCAAAATGGGATGGATCAAAACATTTTCCTATTCATTGATTTAGAAAATGCTTCTTTCAGAATGTCCACTTAACATGCTTAATAAGTGTTATTAATTACTCTCTGTATGCATTTGAAAGGTTGGTTAGAATGTGTTTCTTACAATCTTTCTGCATGTTCAGTGTTCCATTAATTTTTAAAAACATTTTACCCCCTCCCGTAAATTGAAATACATGTACCACCTTCATTTTGAGTTGGACCCAGTGCAGCAGCAAAATCTAACACCAGATAATAGTGTTTGATTGGTCTTTACTATTATTGCCTGCATAGTTAGAATAACATTAAAATAAATGATATCTGTAGCAGCTGGGACAAACATTCGCTTTTCATACTAAACATTGATAATGTGTCATTTACTGCAATGGTGACTGACATATAGTCATAAGAACAACAGACATAAATACAGTCCCTGGAAGGTTCAAAGTCCAAATGATGATAACTGTCCACATGACAAGATATCATTTGTATGCAGGCATCATATTCAGATTCTTGGCTTAGATAAAGGTTTATTTCATCTGTATCCCTTTTATTTGTCAACAATAGTGTTATTCTTTGATTTTTGTAACTATTTTACCAATTTCCACCTATTATTTAGTTCACCACTGAGTATAAGGAGTAGTCTATCAGTATCACCATCAGCTGATCAGCTGTCCAGCCATCTATTAACATGATACTTTCGGCTGGTGAACTATGGAGATTATGAAAAGGACCATAATGTGACTTGGATTTCTTAAAGGCATGGAACATTGATAATCCATTGTGTAAAAATAGTAAATTGTGAGGTTAGATATTTAAGAGTCATCTCCTCTGAAACCAAGTAAACCAAAACATGCACAAAGCTGATATATTTGGTAAGATATGTTGAACTAAAATGAGGTTCAGATTTAATCATTGAACTTACATAAACAATTAAGGTTGTTGTTTTTCTCTTCGAGCATGTTCGGGTTGAAAATTAAATTAAAGAAAAGGTATTGTTTATATTTGTGTTGCAGCTTTGTATTACAATACAGTACTGTTTAGTCATATAATTACACCATCTTATTTTTTTAAAGGTGACAGACCGATGTAGATATGCACCATGAGTTATGGATAAAGATGTTACAAGACCTTCTGAGACTTAGGCGTTGACCACATATTGAAACATGGAGGGTAAGGAGGAGCTACCACTTCCAGGCATCTGGGTGAACGTCACCCCTGCAGAACAGGAGGCAGCAGGGGGACCACATTCCCCAAGGGTGAAGTTCATGATCGGTGATGACTTTGAAGATAGACCTCGCAGTCCAGGTTGCTATGAGGTAATTATTTAAATATAAAACTTAAAAATTTGAATGTCTATTTCTGTAGTTTTAAATTACTCCATGTACAAAATTAGTTGTATTTGTCGTGACTTCACCTTTCTAATTCTCTTGTTTTACTAACTTAATTATCACCATCCTTTTGGGCTGATATTTTACCTATCAGTTGCATAGAGCTTCCTGAATAAGTGGAAGGTATTTCTGTATTAATCTTTCAGATCTGTCGTATCTGTCCCGTTAAAGGATTTGAAACAAGTTCCAGATGTTAGAATATAAGAACTTTCTCCTGTGCCCCAGTATGAAACTCAATGACCTAAAGATGACGTCTACTTCTTTCATGTCTGTTTTGAGCCCAATTCTGCATAATCAGTGTTCTAAGTTACGGGGGATCCTCAGGTCTTTGAGGTTTGCTCCTATATTGAACTTGAATCTTAGGACCCCCTCATCTCTATCATTCAACATTAGGGTTATGACAAGGACCCCTTCACTTTCATGCTTAATTTCAAACACTACATTATCATCATTCATCATAAGCATGATAAGAGGCTTAAAAGAAAATTTCCTTCGTAAGCATGTATGATATTTAAAACATTTCTATTTCAGCGATCTGATTCTGGTGACAGAAGGATTGTGGTTGGGGTATGTGCAATGTCGAAGAAGGCAATGTCTAAGCCAATGAGGGAAATTCTTCAAAGACTTGAACATTTTGAGAGAATACAGGTTCTGGTGTTCGAGGAATCTGTAATCTTGAATGATGCCATTGAAGACTGGCCTATCTGTGATGCTCTTATATCTTTCTACTCACATGGCTTCCCACTTAACAAGGCCATTGCCTATGAGAAGCTTAGAAAACCTTTTGTCATCAATGACTTAGAAAAACAGTATTGTCTGAGGGATAGGTAAGTTTTTGATCATACTGATGAAGCAATCAAAGGGGTATAACCTTACTTGCTGAGGAACTCTTGGCTGTTCATTTGCAGGCAGAGACTTTAGTACTCTTTCTACTTTTTTGTCATAAAACCATGTCTGTTGGTCCTATCAAAAGTTGATAAAGTCACAAAAAGGTTCAGTCTTTTGTCTCTAGCCAAATCACTTGAACGTGAAGAAAGGCAAATCCCAGTAGCAAAAGATCAAACTAGTATTGTTGACATATTTTTGTGTGTTTCAAGTATTCATTAACACTTCATGATGTTAAAGAGTCAGTGCAAGTGATGACTTAGTGAATGTTTTCAATTTACCAAAATGTGGATTAAAATTTATTATGATTTTCGCCAGTTGGCAAATGATGTGCTACTGTTGCAAACACAAAAAGTAAAAGTTGTAGTCCACAAGGAAATGTAACTAGTCTAAGTCTAACAGACTGCTTTTAATTTCGAACATTGATGTGACCACTAAACTGCTTACCTCACCACCTTTGTCTGCGAAGCATTTTACTAGAATGTACATAGAATTTTGTTTCACTTTGTCAAGATAAGTTTTATCATGTTTATGATCAAATGTTAATTTCATGTACATTTAGATTCATAGTAGATAGCTTATAATCTTAAACTATCATCATGTTTCCAACATGTTGGAAGTTTTTGAAGTCATGTGGGAAATTCTTAGAAAGTAAGAATCAGAAAATGTTACATGTCATCTCATTACTTCTTTAATAATGTTAATTAATGGAATATTTACATTTTATTTTAGGCGACAAGTTTACCAAATTCTAGTCCATGAAGGAATTGCTCACCCAAGATATGCTGTCCTCAACAGAAATGAAGAAAAAGCTATCAGTTAGTACTTATGACATGTAGAAGAATACTGCTCTAACTGCTCTGGGTCAATGATTCTTATCCAGATCTTTAGAGATATAATCTTCTGTTTTTATTTTGGAGTCAAGTCTGAGTTTGGACTGGAGTTTACCAAGTTCGCAGCAGTCCTTATATATCACAAATAGTTTAAATTCTTACTAACCCACACATCTTTTTCTATTAAGGGCAAAAAGTAATGCCACAATAGAAGTACTGCTAATTTTTTTTAACAGTTTCTAGTAATAATTGTGGACAGTTAGATTAAAAGGTAAATGATTGATTTTCCGTTGCCTGAGTGGACACAAATTATCTGATGTCATTGTAATTTGTATACATAGTATATACAGTTTTATTAATGAAGCATGAAAGTCAAGAGCTCCTTGTCATAGTCTTAATGTTAAAAGGTAATGATTAAGGGGAACTCTAGATCTAATTACTATAGGAGCAAACCTCAAGGACCTCAAGACTCCCCTTAATTTCGAACACTGTACATTTATCTATGGAAAGTTGTTAAATGTTTTGAAGCAAGACAAATGTATGCACTACAGTGGCAGTGATAAAAAACTGGAAGAGCCTTTTAGCCCATCGAGTATATCATTATTAATAATGTTATATATCATGTACATGTATTATAAGGATAACCTTAAAGATCTGGAAGTAACCATACGGACACATACAGTGCTTTACATATCACATTAAGTTCAATTTCTCAAGTTTTGCTGGAACCTCAGCAATAGAAACTAACAGTTTTAGTCAACTAGTCTTTATAATGATAACATAAAGCAAAGCCGATAAAAAGGGCAAATTTCTACTAGTCCTTTTGATACCTTAACTACTGGGCAGTTTGGCAAGGACTATGGGACTAGTGCCATTTTCTATCGCTGAATCTCCTGTAACATTAGCAACTCTTTTTCAGGTCAATATGTACAGACTGAAGACTCAATAGAGATAGACGGTGTCTTGTTTCCCAAACCCTTTGTAGAGAAGCCTGTGGATGCAGAAGACCACAACATTCACATCTATTTCCCTATGTCAGCAGGTGGAGGTAGCACACGTTTATTTCGTAAGGTACGACAGGTATGGGGTTTCCATGTTTCTGGTTGCTCCCAGTTTGCTTTGTGTTAGCAGTCACTACAATCAGTTCCTAGCTCTGTATTGTTTGAAACTGGCCTGTCAACGCTTTGATCACATCTTTAAAAATTTTGATGCAAGGAAAAAAGAGGTACCGTACCTCATGCTCATCACAGACTAATGAGGATCAGGTGGTAACTTGTTGTGATCTCGCTGATTATGTCTTATTGTGTCCCAGTCACATGAATCTTTGGTCGTGCAGTCACTGGTTTGTCTGATTTTTTCTCGATTATTTTCACGTGTAGCCTTGGCATAGCTGAAAAAGTGGTATTACCGCTGATTTTAACATTTATTAAATTTCACAAACTTGTCAGCTAAACATAGATTCATTAGACTAGGTCATGCCTAGGTCAACCTCTATATGGCTCATGAAGCATATGGAGGTTAAGGGTGAAATGATACATTGATGCGGGGGTGCATCATGAGTTTTCATGTGATGATACGAAACAAGATAACCTTTTTTCTGTATCGATACAAGAAGATACACCTGTTAAAATATTACTTTCTACTCATTTAATGAACCTCAACATTTTTGTCAGTCATATATTGCAAAATGTGTTGTAAATTTTAGTGTTTCAAGTTCACTTTTAAAAATAGCCACTTTGAACATGTGTCTACAGCTGGCTTTTTCTTCTGAACCTGCTCAGAAATATAAAAGTCAAGAAGTTGCCTCACAAATTGACGTAAATATGTGTATCTCAATACTTATATCGTGATTTATGTACCATGATACATAGCGTAATGTGACCTAGCTGTATTGTTTCACCCCTAAAGCTAATGCAAATGTATAACACCAGTAATCAGTTTAAATGAAATATACTTCATGATAATTTCCTGTTTTAACTCTTAAAATTACTTGAGTTGACAGGCCAGCTGTATAAGCATCCTTTACATGTATTCATAGCTCAGTGGTGATGGGTAAGCAAAACAGTAGCCATGGTAGCGGCAGAGATCGCAGGTGCATGTATCATGCTTTTGGTTAATTCGCTTCACATTTCAGTTTAAACCCCTTTGGAGATTATATACCCAATAGTTCTCAAATACCAGATACTTTTGTGGTTAAAATTGAATATCTGGCTGATTGTTTGTCATTGTGCCTTGATGGCACGGGTGATTTTTGGATAGCTGTTCATGCTATCAAAATAATGTTTGCCTGGTCCAGACCTGAATATTTACAGGCCAGTGATAGGGATGGAGTAGTGCCGATGATGAGGTGAAACAACATTCTCAGCTCCCCATTATGTTTTTCAGACAATTGTCATGGGTACTGAACTATTTACATTTTTTGACAAGGTTTTTTTTTGTTGATAATTTATTAATACTTTTTTTAAACAGTAAAATGTTTATTGGAAAAATCTGAAAACTCCAATTTGATAATTACCTCATTGCAGGTTTTATGAAAGCATTCTGTTAGAGTAAGTTGGTATCAGTGGTATATCCTAGCTTGTTCCTCGAGGTTATGTTTTGTACAAATGTAAGATGACATTTAGTTTCTTAGGAAGATAGTGGATTATTAAGAGAATGCAAATAATTTGTAGAACATAATTTTTTTCAAGCAAAACTGTAGATTTCTAGTTTTATTTGACCATGTTGTCTGGTATTATCATGTTTTTGTCAGTAGTATAGAGATACCATTCATCATGTTCTGTTTAATCATATCTTCATGTACATTTCCACTAGTAATTGCTATATGTTGCATATAATATTATTAAGAAAACTATTGGTATATTGTATAAAATTGGCTAATATGATTATAGTGATCAGAAACCGTTGTTGTTGCTGTCATTTACATCAACATCACTTGTTAACTAAAAGTTGAATTCAAAATATTAAAGTTATGAAATTGCTATTCATTGCATTGTTTTACTTATCCTGCGTTACTCCTCAATGCATTTACTGCTTATTTTCGACAGAAATGAAGCTGTGTGGGGTCCAGCTGAAGAAAACGTTGTTCCAACTAACCTGATGCAGGGCCCAAGTGCAGTACCCACTGATATGGGGAAGAATAGGTCTTCAGCAACCCATGCTTGCCGTAAAAGGCGACTATGCTTGTTGTAAGAGGCAACTAAAGGCACAGGTGGTCAGGCTCACTGACTTTGTTGATGCATGTCATCGTATCGACGATGGTCATGACATTAATCACTGGATTGTCTGGTCCAGACTCGATTATTACTGCTTGTCACCTGACAGACATGTTGCTTCAATAACTTGTCCAGTCTTTGGTCTAACCTCTGGTCTTGTTTATAGCCTTGCTGTGTACATTTTACTCCCTCCTGTGATGGTTGGAGGCTTTTTTTACATGTAGTTGTGCTTTTAATTCCAGATTTGGACGTGAAATGTGACTTTTGTCAACGTTCTTCATCTGTGTATATGTTGTTCCAATCTGCCATTTTGAATTGCCAACGTGTCTTGTGTTTTTGTGGCATACTTTATGTCTAACAGTGTAGCTTGGTATTGGTACATGCTAATTATATTTAGCATCTAAAAACTTTTTAAACTGTTTTACACTTTCTTCTTGCAATCATATTATCTTGTATCCCATATGATGCAGAAGATCAAGGCAACCAAGAGCCTCGCTCTGATTTCGATTGTGCCTTGGTGGCCGGCGAGTGGGTGGTTGTAGATCTCAGAAGTCTTGCAGGAAGTGATCCACCAGGATGGCCAAACCTATACTCATCCATCCACACAGCAGGTTACCACCTGCACGAATTGCCCAGCTTAAGAGAGTGCAAGGCATTAAGGGTTATTTGGCGCAGGCAGCTAAGGTCTTTGCTATGGTACACAGAACTTCGACCCGAGACCTTTACGATGATAAGTGGTGATCCTTCAAAACCTTTGGTAAAGGAAAGGATTGGGACCCCACTTCAGCTTCTCCTCAATTCTTGGCTGAATACCTCCTTTATCTGCGTACCAAGCAACCCCCTAAAAGGCAGCTTCATTACTACGTATTTGGTGACTCTCAACTCGGTGTCGGCATTTCCGGAAGATCAGAAGATGACCAAGATCCTGGAACTGCAGGCTGTTTTAAGCTCCTTTAACCTTGACGATCAAAAGGCCAAGTTTCGCCCTCCTGCGTTGGATCTTAATGTGGTACTTCTCCACGCTGCATTTTTTATAACCTCACAAAGAAGACGATCTTCTTAATGGCGATGGCTATGGCGGAAAGGGTTCAAAGAGCTTCATGCTCTCGACATTACCAGTGTATGCTTTGAGCATGGTGCGCTCCGATTTGCTGGGTTTTCATTGCCAAGAATCAATTACCGGGACAGCCAAACAGGTCATTCTCCATATCACTGTTATCATTCATTGTGGGAGCCAATTATGAGGAGGAACTGTTATTGTGCCCCGTGTACGCACTGCGAGTTTACATCTGTTGCTCCAAGGCTCGGAAATGTCTGTTTATTCCCGTCTCCCAGACTACCTCAACTGAAGTCAGCCGCAACAGCAACACCATATCATGGTTGGGTGCCATCCTCGTTCAGGCTTATGAGATTGCCAACCTTGGTATCGCCACCGAGGGCTAACAATCCTCATGAGATCCAGGTAGTTGCTTCTACGATGGCTCTACACAGTATCTGCTGTATTAGAGCTATCATGGAAGCATGTTTTTGGTGGTCCGACACAGTCTTTGCAAGCCACTACCTGAGGAACGTGGCCTTGGAAGATGTAGAAGGCGTTCATTGTTTTTGTCGTAGCCCAGCAGGTCACAAAATCCTCGTTGCCATTGAAAAGCTCCTGTCCAGAGCCAGCCTTACCCGACTCAAGCAGTGTTCGAACACTCAACAAGAGGCTCATCCTGCTGCCCAGCAGTTGGCTTTGTAAATCAGTACCTAGACTTTAGCGCACAGTAATTTCTGTTGCTAATTATTACCGGGGCGTACTCATACACTCACACCGTCTGCGGACAGGATTTGTAGAAGTAGTTGCAGATCTGCGCAAGTGATGTGCTTAATAACTGCCATGAACTACTGGAGAGTTTATGACACAGTCATACAGCCATACAGTCTGATACAGACGCATTAAGGAGTAATGCAGGATAAGTTAAATTTTTTTAGTAAAGTCTAAATATTTTTTTAAATTTGTATACTTATCCTGCATTACTAGATCTAAAGGCCCAATCGTTGCACACCTGCATCCCCACAATCTATTCAGATGTCCATGACAAGCAGTAAAGTGAAGTTGCGTGATGTCATCACTCCGAGGTCACGTGGGTATTGTGCTTGGGTCCTGCATCAGGTTGGCTAGAACTTTTTCTCTTCAGCTGGACCCTGAACAGCTTCATTATGTCAAAAATAAGGCAGTAAATGCATTAAGGAGTAATACAGGGTAAGTATACAAAAGTAAAAAATATTAAGATTTTACTGAAATTTAAGTATAGTTATTACAAGAGCCTTTCATCATGTTCATAGCTGTTATTTGTAGTTCATAACTGACTTCAATATTGGCCTTGACCTTGCATTGCAGGTTCATGACCGCAGTAGTGTGTACTCTGTTATGAGTCGTGTCAGGTCTGCTGGTTCATATATTTATGAAGACTTCATGCCGACAGATGGCACTGATGTGAAGGTATGTACTTGAACACTTTAATTTATTGATGTCCTTGTGAGAGAAACAGGGACAGAAGTAATTTTTTAAGGCCCAGTTATGAACATTATTCAATCATGTAGCTACAGAAAAAAAATATTATCCCTCAGAATGTTGGCTGGACAGTCAATAAGTATCACACCTTTCTATCATAAATATTCATCCAATTTTTATCCTTTTATTCCACCTTATTTCCTCCGATTCGGACAAGACAACATAAGGCAAATGATTAAATAAAATATTTATTGTTTTGGGGTTAATTGGGGATTCTCGTTGAGTCGGTAGCACACTGTTTATTGACAAAATAGAACGCTACTGCTTTACCCCGATGGGTAAGCTAACTAAGGGTGTGTTACGTGACAGAATTGAGATACGCTTTCAGTCTGCTGTAGTCTGACGCCAGACAACCGATACCCCGACGGGTATAACTAGCTACAGATGACATTGTAGCTGGCCAACGATACCCCGACGGGTATAAACTAGCTACATATAACCGTGTAGCCAACAGACAATACCCCGACGGGTGTAGCCGACTGAAGGTGTATGCCCTACCAAAGCAACTGTGAATTGTTGAAGATAATCTTGGGGTGATGCCTTATGCCTTAGGGGTTATGATGCCGCTGGCTCAACTAGAATCCCATGATGTACATGGCATGGTGGTACAAAACACAAGACCTGCAAAAGCATGAGCTAGACCAGAACATGATATATACATATTTGAGCAAGTTAAAATAAATGTGTTAATAAGTGTCGGAGGACATCACCTAAACGGATGAGAAGAAGATCAAAATGCTGGGAGCGATCGATGACCTGCAAATAAAGGTGGAGGTGGGATAACGTTTGCACTTAAAATTACACGAGACACGATTAATGGCTGACTGCTTAGAACAAAGGGAAAAGTTGCGCATGCGCACAACCTATGTTTACCTGGCTATACCAAAATATGGATTGATAAACGAACAGTGGTTGAACTGCATATGCATATTTACATAGTTAAAAACTCCCAAATACGGACTGATACGCGGACGTTGATTATAATAGGGCATTAGGATAATTAAGTTCTGTCATATAAATAGAATAATATTTTATAAACAGTGATTGCAAGGCCGCTGTGTATTCCCATGGTTTTAACAAAAGTAGGAATATATGAAACGGAAAGTGATCGTACCATTGTGATGCGATGTAAGGTTATTAAACCCAGGTTAGAGATACGCGCATGAGATATAAATGGTGTGCTATGTACATGAAGGGACCTTGTCCGACCAGAGGATGCCATAAACTATACTAAAATATTTAAGTACTAATATATTTAACAAAAAGATGAGATTTCGCATTTCATAGTTTTCCGCTTGCCACCACCACCTCAAGGTTAGAGGTTACTGTTCTTGTTTAATAAGTGGGACTTGTCTAGTAGATAATCATAATTGTCAAACTCTGTTTATAATAGACAACATGACACTAAAAATCTTGGGAAATTTAGGGAAACACACTCTGTTATTCTTGAAACCCTACGAATGTATACAGAGGGACAATACTGAGTTGGATAAATCCAGACAATTTTACTGGGAATGGTGCTTTCCTGATTAAGTATTTTATTGCATTTAGTCCACGGTTAGTTGGAGCATAGGTAGCCAAGGTGTCTAAGGTGCTGCGATTCGCTGTGCAGAGTTGCGTCCCTTGGGCACGCCAGAAACCTATGATTGTGGGTCGAATCCTGGTTCGCGACGATTATGTTGCAAGGTTTGTGAACACCATTCCCTTGCTCGTGGGTTTCACTGAAGTGGTAAAACGTGAGAGACCTGCATCACTTCGGGATTTCCTCCCACATTAAGCTGACACACTGTGATATAACTGGAATACTGTTAAAAGCGGCATTAAACCCGACTCACTCACTCCACGGTTAGTTTTTGACCAGTCTCTTTTGTAAAATAGGAACACTTTATTTGGGAAAATGGTTTAATTTTGAACTGGTAAGACTAGAAGTTTTATCTACTGCTGCTACAATGAAGGTTATGTGGGCGGAGAATTATGTTGTCTGAAATAATATATTGAGGTGTTATCATCCAGGTATACACAGTGGGTCCTGACTATGCCCATGCCGAGGCCAGGAAATCCCCAGCACTGGATGGGAAGGTGGAGCGGGACGTGGACGGGAAGGAGATCAGATACCCTGTTATACTTAGTGCCAAAGAGAAGATGATTGCCAAGAAAGTTTGTCTAGCTTTCAAGGTAAGGATACTTTTAAAAATATTTCTTTTGACTTCTAATAAAACAAATGCTTTAAAATCACATTGTACATGTATAAGCATACGGTAATTGATAATAGGACAACAAGGTGGTAAATTATGTAATTATTTTTTATCCTGACACAACACATTGTAGTTTCCTTCTGGACTTTGATCCTATAACCCAAAACTCAAAACTTGCTTCTTCCTCCTCTGGGGTGCCCCTTCCTCCTCTTGGGTGCCCCCAGCACTTGGTTACCAACAGGAGTTATCTGTCCCTGATCCCTTCACTTGCTTCACATCGCTTGTGGTGATAGACGTGCACTTGCGATTGACTTCTATATCCTTGTGCTTTAAAAGTTGTCGTCGTTCTTTCCAACTGTTTCTACGTCAGTGCCTGTTTAGGAGGATACTTCTTCACTCTGTGTGAGAATTTTTCATTAAGCATGCAAATTTTGAAAAATATAAAGGTCACATGGTGTGTTGGAAATATTTTCAAACGTTAAAGTATTTACGTGTTTCCATTCCCTATTGTATGTTGCTGGTGTCATTTGCATTTGGTTTCTATGCTCTATGGGAGGTTTGTACATGCTTGTATATGTTTTTTATATTGCGAAGCATAGCAGAAATGTCTTTGACTATTCTGGTGGATGGTGCAAGCATAGATGAAAATGTGTGTACGTGGTGGTGTGCTTCATGTGTCACGGGAAAATCTCACAGTGATCCACATGTAGATTGTTCAGACTGTCGGAAATCTGTGTGTGACTTAGTTCCTCGCTGTGCTGAATGTAGCACGTTTTCCACAGATCAGGTTGAGGTTTTTCTCAAATGCATCATGAAGAAAAAATCTCAGGAGGCCTGCAGAGAATTGGTAATGTGGGAGGTGGCGACAATGACTACTGGCCTGGTCACGATGGCTGCCACGGTATATGTTTTCGCTGGGACAATTACGACTCTAACAACTTTGGCCTCTCTGGTCCAGACATCCCCACGTTCTAGGAAGACAAGCTCTTTGGGGTCACCCACTGGTTCTTCTACGAGTGCTGGTGCCGGTAGAAGAGCTGACTGGAACTTGAGCGGCATTGACTGTGAGGCAAGTGCTGGAGGAGGACGAGGCACTGGTTGGAGCTTGAGCATCGGCGTCGGTTGAGGCATCAATGCCAGCATGAGCCCCAGCATCTGCAGGGGAGCTAACAACGGCAATAGAGGCACTGGCTGGGCGTCAGCCAGGGCGCCATTATAGTTCACACACTAGACTTGTGTCAATCAGAGCACGGCATGGAACATGGGCACCTGCTAGAATTTGGGATGGACTTTGGTAACGGTGCCAGGCGCTTACCCGCCGACTGATGCACGATTTAACCCTTTTGCACACCATGGTTAGTTATCCGAATCAGCTACACCATTGGATGGGAGCCATGACATACAGATTACAACAGCAACCTCCTCCCTTTCAAAATCAAGGTATTACAGTCAGATGCCTTTGGGTCTACACTGAGGATCTGTTATTGTGTCCTGTGCAAGCGTTCAGGACATAATAATGTCCGGTAAGCAATATTTTAAAACGGACATTTGAGATTCCCAATCGGACATGTTAGCTAGCACTATAAATTGGCATTAGTCCAGGCAAACGCACGCACGCACGCTAGCTAGCTAGCTATATAAGTGCAGTAATCTTGGACGAGACGTTAAACCAAATTTCATCTCACCTATCCGAGGGACCTCTCTGTCCCACATTTGCGTCATTGATTTTGATGCTATCTATATCCAGAATACCATTCATGAATATATATTTGTTTGACAATATCTAATGGTGTTCCTAAGTGTCTTTTCACCTCACGGTAGAGGTCGGATCCTGCTGTTTGTTGTAGACAAAATCATCACTGTGCATTGCCAGATATTTCACTTGTGTCACATATGGCTCAATAAATATTTGGCACTAACTACATCCTTTAGTTCCGATCCTCTGGGCGTCATGTACTGGAAGCTGCACAGATACCCAGACATGGAGCATAGTCTTTCATGTTAGAGTAAGGATGTGACAGGTCTCCCGTGCCACACGCTCAAGCACTGTTCAGTGCGTTGCCAGATATTTTCATTGTGTCACACGTAGCTCAATAAATATCCTGAGGGATTGTTTGCCTTGGGTTGTTATGCACTACATCCTGTAGTTCCAGTCCTCTTGGTGTTAGGTATCAGAGAAGAGGGCACCCGCTGAGCAGAGCCTAATCCAGACGTAATCCGGATAGTTACCAATACCGGAAGTTGCAGACTCTGCAGCCATCTGTGGGATAAGCATTGCAATGTGTTGTGTCAGAATATGAAATAATCTACATGAATATGGATATACATGACATTAGTATACCTATCCTGACACAACAACACTCAGGCCATCTCTCGTTCAAGCGAAGCACTGATGAGAACACAGTAAAGGGATCAAGAACAGATAACTCCTGTTGGTCACCAAGGGCTGGGGGTGTAGTGCCCCAGAGGAGGAAGAGGCATGTTTTTGGTTTTGGGTTATAGGATCGAAGTGCAGAAGGAAATTTAGGGAATTCGTTGTGTCAGGATAAGTTTACTAATAATATCATGAATATCCAAATTCATGTCGATTAATTATTTTGTTCTTGAATTGGCCCACATATCTCAAACACCATGAAGTTTATTTCTGTCTTGATGTCTAGGTCTATTTTATTTTAAATATGTTAAGAAGAGAGGCAACCTGGAGTATCTTTTCAAAACATCAATTTTTTGAACATGTATTTTCTGACTTCAATGTCATTAAGATAAATATAGACACCCCCTAAATTCTTTCGTTTACTCTTGGACTTCATTCATGATTTTGAATCAGGATTGTGTTTACCCATGGTTACAGGATAAGACGGTTTAATTTTAATGTTGCATGTTGTCTCTTGCCTGTATATGTATAAAATAAATTTTTAATAATGTATTACATCCTTCATAAAACACCATTTGCCAAATACTTCATGATGTTTGATCTTTATTTTCACCTTTCAGCAAAATGTATGTGGGTTTGACTTGCTGAGAGCTAGTGGCCAGTCCTACGTGTGCGATGTAAACGGTTTTAGTTTTGTGAAGACTTCCAGCAAATACTATGATGACTGTGCCAAAATACTTGGGTAAGTATTTTACGGACATTTTAGTATGTTTGGTAGTTTACTCTTTTCTGGTTTTTGCTTCATAAATCCCAAGTGTTTATTCTTTTATATATGTATACAATACAGAGATAAATAGGCAGAAATGTTTCCCGTAAAGATTTTTGCAGCACTCGTCTAACAGTTTGAAATAATTATCATTCTGAATCACCTCATGCAGTGAATACTGAGTGAGGATGTATCCAACCATTTGGACATTCCTCTGATTTAGATATGTTACTCCTGAGGCTATCTGGAGCACTGAGATTTGTCTTGAGTGTCCTGTTTTGATCAGTAGTTTTGCCTGTTCATGGTTTTGTCAGATGACATTTTCACCTGAGTATGTTGAGTTTCAAATGAGTGATTGGTTGCTATGCTAACCAACATACCCTGTACTTTTTCTCACAGGACAATGATCATGAGAGCCTTAGCCCCTCAGCTTCAGCTTCCATGGGTGTTAGGGGCAGGGCCGGAAGACATCCCAGTGGTGCCTACAACACAGGGACCCATGTAAGTAGCTTGTCTAGTAGCAGAGGTGTCAATCACAGACTAACTGAAATTGTCCCTTTTAATAATGTTTCATATATCAGGTATATAGAACAGTACTTGTATTTGCACTTGATTGAATTGAATGCCATATTATTGACATTTGCCACTTCCCAATCTAAAAATGTCCCAACTACATCTAATGCTCATGTTAGGGACAGACACTTTACAGATATGAAAATAATTAGAATTCTCTAGTCTTTTGTTCACAAGTATTTTCAAGTAAGGCGATTCTGAGAGTGAAATTAAGAAGTGGGGTCCCCATGTTTATTTGGGAGTAAATTATCATTTAAAAGTTTGAAACATGTCCAAAGTTTTCTGTTTGTTGTCAAATTCCACAATTTTTAAACTTATCCTATCTCACACCATGCATTTCTTCCTTCTTCTTTTGATCCTTATGTGGAAATGTGCTTGAATAAAGTTTCCAGCTTCACCCGAACACATCTCAGCATCACCATGGTCACCACCCAAACATATGGGTCTCCCACTGTAATCCTGTGCATAGCAACCTTCACAACCTGATCATGTCAATACCCCTGCCATAGTAGTGCACGATATTACTGAAAAATACTGGTATATTGCATTTTATGAAATAATGCATATTTTCTGATAATTTTCATCTTGTTGGCAACTTTGGCAACATGCGGAGTCTCCCACCAAAGGGCAAATCTGAAATATATACATGTGAACATGTTAATCTTTCTAAAGAAATATAGAAAATGATCATTGTTTTATCTCTTGCATTTTATTGTTGGCCTATTGTTGGCTGTTGAAAGTGTTGACTCTTGTGTTTGATTCTGTCAAGGAACTTTCAGTACAGAATCAAAGAAAAACTTCAAGTCATTCGGGGAATTTTTAATCAGGTTCATAACAAATGACAGATGAAAGAACGCATGCAATATATCGTGGTTTGAATCGCAATACATAAGTAGTGCGATATATTTCAATTTGAATATCAGGCCAATACCAATCACTACCCTGCCACATCATTCTCATTCTCATCACCACCCTGTGGAGACATGTTAAAAAAAAATAGAAAACTAGAGAACATTTTTCTTTTTGTGTGTGGGCTACCTCCTGGTTGTTAATAACACCTACAAATACATATTGAAGAAGATTGGAACAGCCAAGATTTAGGCCCAGCCTGTATAACTGGCAGATGTATTTTTTTCTTGGCGAGCCCCCAGGACATTTGCTGTGACTGTCTCTCTCAGAACCATAGATGTTCCTTGGTACTATCAGACCCCCTCGGAGGAAGCCTTTCGTATGACCTATGCATATGCCATAGCATAGGTTTGATCGGCTGTCTAAATGTCAGGACTTAGGAAATGTGCCTTTCTCTGCTAAACAGCCCAATGTGTTACCAAGTTGGCTGTTTCCTCCACCATAACAGCCGTGAAACCGACTCCTACGTCTACCGTACCATCCTTGTCTTTTATTTGTTTGTTGTTTATCATTGTATCAGATACCTTCCTCACTGACGACGTTCCCTCCAAAATGAACCAGCTGTCTGATACTAGTTCAGATGTTACCACGCCAACCTGCTCCCATGGAGGGAGTCACTGCTATGTCAAAGAGAGTTTGTCTACTCCATCCTTGACAGTATAGACTGTCAACCCTCCCAGCAATCTCTGGCCATCATTTGTGGGTTATTTATCCCCCCTTCCTCCGTTGCAGTGAAACCATCTTGGCTACTGTACCAGATTGTAGATGTCCGTGTCTCAGTTTTTTTATGGGGCCTTTACACATAATGGCGACCTTTGTGCCTCCCGTGAGCGACCATGAAATTTGCCAGGTCGTCGTTGGAGGCTCAACGTAGGCAGAATGGTTGCCTAGGTTGTTCCAAGGTGGTACACAGGAGGTTCAGACATCGTGATGGACGCCATGGTCGCCGTAAATTTTTGAACATGTTCAAAACAGTCGCACAAAGGTCGCCGAGGAGGTTGGTGGCTCAAAGGAGGCAGAAGGGAGGCACAAGCATTGCCGTTGTTGCAGAATGAAGGCACAGTGGTCACCCAATGGTCACCAGGTAGAAGATGCGTTCTGCCGCAAATGTATTCCATTAATCTGGGCGATGCTTCTGCCTCCCTTGTGCCTCCTTTGGGCGACCAACAGCGCGCATTGAACGATGACTGTGCCGACCGCCGTGCCTCCATTCGGCGACCACGGCAACCCTTGAGACACCATGGCAAGGCTTCTGCCTCTTTTCTGCCTCCTTTGAGCTACCAGTAGTGCCTCCTCAGCCTGCCTATACATGGAGGGCTTGTACCTGCAGTGTTTCATTGTGGTTGCAGACGCTGAACAACTCGAGCAGTTATTGCTGAACAATTGCTGGAGCAGTTACACAGAAACATGATTTTCTGGGTTCAGGCGACCATTGAGCGTCCTGGCCAGTTTTTGATCGCTCAAAGGTGGCACAAAGGTCACAGCCCTGTGTAAAGGGGGCTTTTCCGACGACGTCCCTATTGTCCCGGCTAAACAGTCCGTTCCTAATGTGTCTGGGTCCACGTCTACGACGGAACCACCAGCTACATTGAGCGTTCGCAAGGTTCTCTCTTCCGTGAATCGTCCAAAGCTACCTCGGATACGCCTTTGGTCGACCCTCCTAGTGCTTGTAGATGGTCTGCTACCAGATGTCTTTCGTCTCCCTTTCCTTCGCATGATGTTCAGGTTGATGGTGATCGCTCCTCTCTGTCCAACGTTACTGGCGCTCTTCCATCAACGGTGACGAATAAGGCTTCCCTTGACACTGGTTGAACGGGTTAACCCTCTACAAAGGATCGATTGATCACAGATAGATCCTGCAATTCTACTTCGGATCACTGTTCCAAGAATAGTCGATCGGTGCTCTAAGGATCGCTCACCTAGGGATCAACAATCTGATGATCGTCATTCTGATTTGCCAGGTCACCCTTGGATTCGACACTCGGGATTGACGTTTGGGGGTTCAACAACTTGATTATAGACCTTCTCATGAACGATGCTCACTGCAAGGACGCTACTGATTCATCACATACCACTCCTGTTTGGCATGATTCAGGGGATACCGTAACTATTATGCTGACTCGGCTGATTATTCATCAACGTTGTGTCACTCCCTGTCTTCCAGTTACACAGATGGACGTGGTCTGCATTCTCCACGGGCATGATAGAAAACGTATATTACTTGCCCGAGTTTCAAACCTTACTTGGCAACCTTACTTGGTGTCGGGCAATGGTTCTTTTTAACTCCTCTGGGTCTACACCAGTTCAGTCCCTTGGTCCAGGCACAGCAGCTGCACACCAGAGCAGATAGAAGATGTGTGTACCTGCTCCTGTTTTATTTCGTACTACGTCTCATGTATTTACAGAATAAATCCTGGAACTTAGGCTCCTGTGTTTATTGTATTTTATTGGTCGTGTTCCCAAACTGAGTACCCGATTGGAGGGTGGATTATCTCGTTTGTTCACATTGAAGTCATCACAAGGCGCAGCTGTTAAGACAGTGTCCTGAACCCTTAACCGCTCACCCCTTCTTTAGGCATGTGCATCCTGGTATTGGTTCGAATACCCTCTTGTGGATACTGTCGATTGTTCCTCTTCTCGTCTTAGCATGCTTCTATGTCTCGGATGGTTTGATAGCTTTGATGATGCATTAAAGGAGATGCTGAGCAGGCGCACCCTATTGGCTGTGGGAGATAGTGCTCTGACCTGTCTTGTAGAATCGATTGGCTGGAGACCCCTGCCAGATTGATCATAAGTTGTTGTATGCTGTATCGATTGTTCTGTAAAGCCACACAATTGTTCATGTAAAGATGTCATACATGAAAACATGTAAAGCATGTTATACCTGATTTCATGCTGTCTGACTAACGTATATCGTCTGTTATGGTGTGTTTTTCTGCTCATGAGTTGTTGTCTAGGCAGTGTTATAGAATCTTTACTTCACTGTTTAGCACCCGGTTCCTTGTGTATGTCTCATGGTGGTGGCCTATCTGCGCCCCACCGTCCAACTGTTGCATAAATGCATTGTGTGGGATAGGATAAGATTAAAAATTTGTAAATTTATATACTTATCCTATCTCACGTGCTATATGCCCTCCCGACAATCCACTCATGCGAAAGAGAATGCTCATATTGGGGTATTGACATGAACTGGTCGTGTAGGTCGCGATGCAAGGGATTACAGTAGGTGACCCATTTGTATGGATGGTGACCATGGTGATGCTCGGATATGTTAGGGTCAATTGTTTTTTTGAAGCTGGAAACTTTATTCAAGCACGTTTCCATGTAAGGATGGAAAGAAGAAGGAATAATGCATGGTGTGCTTCTGATTCCTCATTATTTCATCTTCAATCATTGATTTTCATCAGTTTTAATATTTTGCATAATTTATCTTAAATTTACCATTGTTAACAATTATGAAATGTTATTCCTAAATGATTATGATGATGCAATTGTCATTGATCGCATGTTAATGATGAGTGTGGGTAATTATGTATTGATACATTTAATGACTGGTTAAACATTTGAAGTTAACATTGAATAAAATTTTAAAGTTCTGTTTATTATCAGAACAACACTAATGGAATGCTTTCTTATTATCATGATTATGTGAATCAGAGCTCATAGCCATGATAGATTCAAGTCTTTCATTAGGTAGTGAACTTTTTACTTCTGGTTGGAGCATTAATTTCATCTTCAAGATTTGTTTTGAAATCAGGATGGAGCTACGATGTGTAAGTGCAATTATTCGTCATGGCGATCGGACACCCAAACAGAAAATGAAGATGGAGGTCAAACATAAAAAGTGAGTTTTTGTTTCATAAATTTTGGATATTTATAAATTGCTAACTCGTGAACAGACTGACCCATGAAGATCCGGGGTAGAATAGGTCTTCATCAACCCATGCTTGCCGTAAAAGGCGGCTATGCTTGTCCTAAAAGGATCAGTGTTCAAAACTAACTGGATCAGGTAGTCAGGCTCGCTGACTTGGTTGATGCATGTCATCGTATCCCAATTGCTTGGATCGATACTCATGATATTAATCACTGGATTGTCTGGTCCAGAGTTGATTATTTACAGACCGCCGTCATATAGCTGGAATATTGCTGAGTGCAGCGTTAAACAACAAACCAACCAACCAACCATTCAGAACAAGACTGAAAGAGGCTTTTTATTGACAGCTCTGTTATAACAAGTAATGTATTTTTTTGTGAAAAGAACTCAAGACCAGTTAATATTTGCATTTTAACTGATGAACATTTGAATTTGAAGACAATGTAATTTTTCAGTTTATTTATTCTCTTGTATCTGAAGGCTTCCCTAATACTTGACATTAGCATGATGAGAGTTATGACATGGACACCTTGACTAACATTTTTGATTTTGAACACTGTACAAAGATTCTGTCGGTTATTGATCATTTGTCTGATTCTTCCAGGTTCTTTGAACTGTTTGAAAAGTATGGAGGGCTGAAGAAGGCTCACCTAAAGCTCAAGAAACCAAAGCAGCTTCAGGAAGTGCTTGACATTGTCCGCCACCTCCTGAGTGAGAGCCAGTACAAAGTGGATCCGGAAGTGGAGGAGAAGAAGGCCAAGCTACAACAGCTTAAACTTGTCTTAGAAATGTAAGTGTTATCTGTCAGTGTCCAGGATATGCTTTTGATAGGTCCAGGTCATATTGTTTTTCTTGTAAATGTGATTAACATGATCAGATGGTATTGACAGTAAAGAAATGTTAGTTTGTAAAATAGTCTCTTTCTGGATGATATATTTCTTACTAATTTTTTAATGTGAATTTTACACGATATTCAGCTTTTCCACTGGACGAGAGGCACAGTCATATGACCGTGAAACTGGTTTGACTTCATGCCTGTGATTGAATATTCTCTCTACCACCCATCCAAGTGACTTGAAAAACTTAAAAAAACTGACATAAAAAATGTCCTAAAGATATTTTTCCATCTTGGTGATGGTATAGCACAATGTCTTATCAATATTTGCTTAAATGATGAAAATGTCCTGATGACATTTGTCGCCTGCCAAATTACTGATACGTTCTTTATGTTTCAGTTATGAGTAAAATTATATCTGGGATTCCAGGGCAGATTAGGTCACCAGTAGCTCGTGCTTGTTGTACGAGCTGAATAAAGAGGCAGTTACAACGTGTGACCTGGCTGATTATCATAGATGCACAGACGGTGTTGCTGTTTGTTGTTTAACACCACACTCAGCAATATTCCAGCTATATGATGGCAGAATGTAAATAGTCAAGTCTGAACCAGACAATCCAGTGATTTACATCATGAGCATCAATCTATGCAATTGGGATATAATGACTTGCCTCAACCAGGTCAGCGTTCCTGACCACCTGATCCCGTTGGTCTCCTCTTACAACAAGCATGGGTTGCTTGAGACCATTTCTATCCTGGATTTTCACGGGTGCCCAGATGGTGTGAATCTTTATCCATGCAGACAAGTACCGGATTGCCTGACTTGAATAATAGTCAATTCTTGACTTATTTAAACAACTCTTGTCAATTATTTTCTAGTTCCCTGTAAAACTGCCACTCAAAATTGCTCCCAAGTTACAATTAGTTATTGTTCTGTGTTTTGACCACACTTGATTTTCCATGTGTAATTATGGTAATACAACTAGTTATTGTTCTAGTTTTGGTACACACTCAATTGCCATATTTAATGTGGTTATACAATTAATTACCGGTATTGTTCTATTTTTGGTCCACACGGCGGTATGTAATTGTGGCTTTACTCCCTTAAGGGGATGAACAGGCCATCCTATTGTTCCAGTGACGTCATGATGGAGAATGTAATTTCATCATCATATTGATGTTCATATGCCCACTAATGTGTGTTGGTGACATAATGTTTCAGGTATGGACACTTTTCTGGAATAAATCGCAAAGTGCAGATCAAATACCAGCCTCAGGGTTGCCCTAAGAAGTCCTCCAGTGAAGAGGGTGTGTAAATGGTCTTCAGATTTGTAATCCAGACACCATGATGTTGAGGCTCTGTGTTGTTTTGTGTGGGGACTTTGGCTGACTTGCTAGCAGTGCATGGTCAATAGTACGCCTTTTGTGAAGCATGTGTAGTCTTCCAAACCAAGGGAACAAGGCTTCTGTCATGCAGTGGGTTTGTTTAATCAGTCAAACAGGAATGATATAATTGACTTAGCTAAGCTACTCTGGTTAACTAATGTGTATAGTGAAAGCCCTTCCAAAAAATGTATGGTTTGGTGACAATGTAAATTCTGAAAAAGCTTACCCTTTTAGTTCCATTGCCCATTATTAATGCTCTCGAAAATCTGCAGGATAAATATGTTATGTTGCCTCAAATAACTTTGTATTCCTACTCCTATGCTGGTAGTGGTAGTTAAACTAAGATCCTTGTGTTACCATCAAGCACCCTTGTAAGACCATTCCATTTCATAGTATATGATAACTATAGCAGTCTTACTTAGTCAATTCCTTAAAATCAAAATATCTCCCAAATCCCTTTTCCATTGCCATAGCTTGCTTAAGAACTTCATAACTAACTAGCGCCCTCATGATAACAATTGCCCACATAACTCTTGTAAGGCAGTGTATCTAATCCAAGTTTCTGATTTCTTCTAGGTTCAAGATTTTTAACTAATATTTCTTTTCCCTAGACTATCCTTTAGAGAGTTTTGAGAAGTCGTCTGGTGATCCAGCATCATTGCAGGTTGTGACTGGACAGTCATGGAATCCCGGTACTTGTTGTTCACTGTTCAGTGTTCCGTTCTGTCCATTGCAAGGTGGTAAACTTGACATATTGGTTGTGTCATCTGAATGTTAACAGCTTCAGCATGATCAGTTGGGGTGATCAAAAAACAATTTTAACCTCAGAACTTAATTATCTCTTGACAGTAATGAGATGGACTGCAAACAAGGAAATGTTGTCAAAAGATTAATAAGTTTGGGGAAGATATCATGGATTGGATGTTGAAAGACATTGATTTGAGGTGAAAAAAAAATGAAATAGAAACTAGATTGATTGATTGATTTCATTTTTAGCTCCATTGTCAGTCAGGATGGTGTTAAGTTGATTTACAGATGGAACTTTAGCCTGAGGGCTCATTGATTTTAGACTGTTTTCATGTATTTTTCTATTTTCATTTTTTTTGGCACATAATTTTTTCAGAGTGACTCTGTTGAACCTGATAAGTTGAAATAAATACTTTCTTTTGATCATTTAATAATGACTGGACTTTTAGAATGATGACAGGAATATGCTAAGGTCTTGACCTGTCAGGGAGAATATGACATCTTTTGGGAGAGGAAAAATTTAATTTTTTTAATAGTTTCTTACCAATTTGGGAAAAAAAGAGAGAATCATTTTCTTTTTCTGATCCGGCAGTTGTGAAAAATGAACGGTTAAGAGAAAACTAGGTCCTGATGTCATCATGATACACTATAGATTCAAGTTTGCCATCTTGCACGGCTTCTTTCTTTGCTCTGCGTGTTGATGTAAATTTTTCTGTTGGACACATATAGGTACGAGTTCACGGGCATTCATCGTAAAGTTCAACTCAAGAATCAGCCATTAGGCCATCTACACAGCTCGTCCAGTGAGGGTTTGTAACCTAGATGTGATCCAAGTTGGCTTCTTGTTCGCTGCTTGTTGTTGGATTGTTTCATTATTTGTATTGCTCTGTTTGATCTGAACCAAGAGTTTGACCTGAGAACACCGATAGCTTGGCAGTGTTATGTTCGGATATGGATTGTCTGTGTAAGGGTAGGAGGTCTGCAGTAACTCACGTCAATCAGCAAGTAACAGCAAGGTTTATCTGTTGTAACCTGGGATTTTTGTTGGTTTTATCTAACCTTGTTTCATGTATACTGTGGATTAAAAGATTTTCAAAAGACAAATGAATTGTGGCATTAGGTTTTTTTAGTTGTGTTCTCTACAAGTTTTTCGTTTACTGCTTGATTGCATGAACAAGTCATGTGTATAATGTAGGTGCGGTGAGTGGTAACAAAACAATAGCTGTAATGGCTGTATGATTCCTACTTAAGTATATCGGTAGAGCATATTGACAAACGTTTTAGTTGATAGATGACATTGCAACATGTTCTATCATTTGAAGCTTTATAATTGTGATACCATAACATTTGGAGAGAAAAAGCATGAAAGGAAATTATCAGTATTCTCCTGTTTAACATTGTTAACAAATTATTATTCACTTATGGAGGGTTGAAAATGCATGTCCTGTCTGTGACCTTTCTTATGCTTAACCTTATTGGGTGAATGATCTTTCTTATACATTTCTGTACTAAACCAAGGTTCAAAATTATGACAATAATCTTGCCCAAGAATGGTCAGAAGCAATATCTATATGGTGAATGATTTGTCAGGAGGTCATCATGGTCACTGGCCATTTGTTAAGATGTTGCTTTGCATACCATAGAAATGTCTTCATTTTGAACCCTGTTGATATATGCATTCTTCAAAACATTGACAGTTGACATCTTGGTGACAAAAAGTACCTAATTGATTATCATTAATGCCTATGGTTAGGAATAAGACATGAAAATTGAACATTTGAAGTTTAAAGGATAATTATTTGTTTTAATGGTTACATTTCTTGGTTACCATGTACGTGTTTTTAGTCCACATAGGGTGTTGGTCCAAGTGAGCTAATGTCATGGGCTGTTTGTCATTGCTGTTGTGAGTTATCTGGATGTGAATACTTTGCTCCTCAATAGGACGAAGGTGAAAGGATGCCAGGCAACACTGTTGGTCCTATTAACCAGCTGTATTGGAAATTTTGTTTTGGGTCATTGCTAAAGCAGGATGTTTTATTGATATTTATTAACATTACTCAGCTTTATTATGTGAATTTAAAAAATGGGTCAGTTACTACACCTGAAGTTTATCTGTGATTTAATTGGTTTCAGCTTTATAGGAGCCATTAATTATCATAATATGCGAACAATAGTTTCCTTAATGTGCATTTCGAAACCATATCAGCAGCAGTGTCATGACTGTTAAAATCACTGTTGGTGTGAATCTTGTGGGTCTGGTCAACAAATCACTGTTTGAAAGGTCATATGGCGTTCCAAACTTCCAATTTCAAAGGTAGTTCGTTTCTCTATGTTTGATGGAATTCCCCTCTCAGACCCTTTGCTTAGTAGCTTCCAATATAATGGTGAGAACATCAGTTGCAGTCAATGTAGATATTTTGGAGATGTTGAGGTTCCGCTCTTAAGTTTTTAAAGTTTATCATATTGTTTTCATTTCTGTTTCTGATGTAAAAATATTTGGATTATTTGGAACACAAGTTTTCTTTTATACAGTCGTTGGACATAAGTATTCATCGCTTTCAATATGATTGCCATTATGTTTCAAAAGTTTGATTCTTTGCAAAAATTGTATTTTGAAAGACATTTTTAATACACAACCCCAAATTTGGTCACATTACTCTTCATATGAATGGCTTCAAGGGTCCATAGCTTGAATTGTGGAATACAATTCCCAAATATACCCCAAACAAATATTAATCCAAATGTTCCTGATGGATGTGAAATTTTCATCGGGTTACTGATTGTTTTGGATTTTGTTTGAAGACCTCTTTTGATTTTAAGCCAAATGTGCTCTATAATGTTGAGATCCGGAGACTGTGCCAATCTTTAAGTCACATCAACATCATTCTTTTCCGTGTACCCGGTATGTTTTCACAGCATGTTCCCTATGAATGGGAGCATTGTCATCATTGAGGGGTAATGTTTGTTTATGAAATGCCATGCAAGAACAAACCAGAAATTACTTTCAAGAATGTCAATATATTTCAGAGCATTTATGTTGCCTTTGCCAGCTGTATTTCGACACCGTCATAACATGCACCCTCACACAATAACGAAAACCTTCCATTTCCAATGTGGGCACACTAGATGAGGACTGTTGATTACAGTGTCCTTCCTCCAAATGTAAACATGGTTGTTGCAATCTACCACAACTTGACATTCATCAAAGAATATGAAATTTCTCCAGTGGTCATTGACAGTCCATAACTTTCTTTCTCCACACAATTTGCTATGATTTTGTTTTGTTTTCATCACACTTCCATCTTCTTCTTTACAGTCGTCTGCCATTCTTTTCTGTTTTCTCTGGATAGTGTTTGTAGAGAAAGTTACCTCCTTAAAGGTGTTGATAATGTCTTGTAAAGTTGCCTTTCTGTTTCCTTTTATGACCTGTGAAAGTTCTGTGTCATCTCTGGTACAAAGAGATTTTTTCTACCCACTACATGTCAGATTTTCTACCGAACCCACTCACACCTATATACCAATGATTGATACTGTTGATACCCAGTAGTTGTCCTAGGTAGACCAGCTCAGAGTGATATCCTTTGTGTTTGTCGATACATGGCTGAAATAATGCTGATGCGACGTTAAATTTTATTCACTCACTCCTTTGTGTTTTGTGGTCAATATTTCCTTGTATTGCTGATTTTTTACCCATCTTGAGGGCCAGCAGACGAATTAAGCTACTTGTCACATGACTTGATTGTTCTAAATATAGCACAAGTTTTGGGTGGGATGTGCTCCAATGTCACACTTCGATATGCAACAGAAATGGAGTGTTTAGTCACATGTTTTGCTGGAGCGTTTTGTAAAGTGATGAATACTTATGTCTACGGACTGTAGCTTTGAAAAAAAATAATTATTTCATGTTGTGAAAGACTCATGATCATAGGTGATCCAGGTTTCCTCTCATGGGCTTGATATATATGTCTACAGCTCTTCACCCTATGATTAGTTAGCTTGTAACTTAGTGTTTGTATTGAAGTAGATAGTCAACTTACCCTTAACAATGCATGGTTTGACAGTAGTGTTTGCTGTGTAGTGAGGACTTGTTTGCAGTGGGCTGACATCATCATGTATCCTTGTCATCAGCACCTTTAATGCATTCATTTTCATACTTTATTTGATTTGCAGGTTTCCACAAAGACCTCATGATTTTATATGTATTTTGCGTGATGTTTTTATTTGTGTCATTGTACATGTAGTCACAACAAATTATTTATCAGGATTATTCCGTCTTCAATTTATATACCATTGATTGTTTCTTATTCGGTTTCCTAATATATGAGGATAAATATTGCACAGCGAACGTCTCTCGTTCCTTTCATGAGTTCCTAATAAATTAATGGAAAATGATAACAGATGAGATCACTTTGGTAATTTGTTGTGACATGAATGTATGGCTTAATAGTAGTTTCAGTTCTGTAAACATTTTAAGATGCTTCAAGAACTGTTGCTATTTTACTGCTCAAAAAGGGCTAACTAATGTTGATGATACTCATTAAAAGGACTTTGTTACCTTTGGTCAAGTAACCAACAAAGAGTTTTGTTACAGTAATAAAAACTATTTGACCATTTTGTTTTGATTTCACTATAGCCGAAATTGGCAATTGGAAATTTATTAACAACCTCTCTCTGTCCCACCGGCCTGACAACTAAATACCTGCAGCCATTTGTTTCTTGTATTATTATTCTTACCTAATTTTACTGTTTATAGATTCATCAATCTGAAGAAACTAATCATAATCATGATAATAAGAAAATGGAATAACAATAGTTTAAAATTACTTATATTTGCCTTACCACATCATCTTTGGTGGGTTAGAAAACAAACTAAAATGTCTGCAAGATCTAACAAAAAATAATAACTTTCAAATGATAATTAATCATATGCACTTTAAATATGTTCTCTAGCCAATTTTAACTCCTAAGAAAACAAAACAAAACCTGCTCTGTCATAAGTAATACATGTAGATGTTGCTGCAAAAATATTTAGCATTCTTCACTTTCAAAAGAATTAGAAATGATTTGCTTCCCTAAGAAGCAACCTACTCAACTTAATGCCAAATGAAAGTAAGAAATTGAGCTACATGTGTTTATTTTTATTTTTATTTCAAGGTATCCAAGCTAACATGCTACAAGGAAACTAAATAAGATTAAACATTGTAGACTTGCAGGGATAATTCTGGAAAGGGCCCTTTGCTTTTGGCCCATCAAGCTAACAGAAGGCCCACCTTTTCAAAAGCAGTGGGGCTTGATAACATTGTATTATATAGGCATCACACAGAAACTGTTCAATATTTCACTGAACAGTGCTAAATGGGCGTTCATTAGAAAATTTGCAGAATGATCCCTGTATTGTAATCATTTCCTCTAATTTATTGAATAATTAAGCATTCTCCAGCAGGGACTTGTGAAGGAAATGTGTTGATTTTCTTTTTGTTAGCAATCTGAAGAGCACAATCAGCCAAATATAGTGACAGGAGGACATTGTCATCCATAGTTATAACTATGTCAAGACTTAGTATACATTATAAGGAATTTATGTTCTTAATTTTCGGGTACGACTTTGGCAATAAAACAATACCCACACTTCCAACATACAGTAGTCATTGTCCTGACTGAATTTAATTTTTCAGTCTTATGAATTTTCTGTTCCTTTTATTTTGTTCTTGTGTTCAAATTGATGAGAGCAAGCAACTCAAATTTTTCAAATATATTAGATAAAGGTATCATTGTTTACTTTAAGCAAAACAGTTATTTGACATTTTGGTCTTGCCTTACTTTCAATATCCCATTGGCTTTCTTCTGGCCTGCACTTTTAGTTTCAGAGATAGATATTTATAAAACATAAAATTCAAAAGAGTGCTTTTTCCATTCAACTCAACATTTTACTTTTGTATAAAAAACGTGACTTAGCGTCTACATGCAGTGTCCAACCCAGGCCGCGCGATTGCACGATTCACACTAAAAAAAATCAAATCGCCCCTCATAAAAAAATCAAAGCACGATCTGTCGCGCACAGTAATTTCTTGTACAGTCACTAACTTTATCAGCTGTTTATCCATACCTTTAGATTCAATACTCACTAAATCTTTAATCAATTAACGAAGAAAGACAGTTCACAGCAAACATTGTAAACAACTGTCGAAGACCGATCGATAACAACCGGAAGTTCAAACACGAGTGACGTCCCTTAGGCTGCTGAATAAATTATCGATAGGATTGGCATAGGAAACGAAATTTGATTTACTTTAGTAGAAAACGTATCAAAACGAGTTTCAGTTCTTTATTCTGATCTGTTACACTTTTATATGATGATGTTCCAGTACATAATACAAAATAAGACATTTTTGAAGAAAGCAATTATCCCCCCTACTTTATCAAATTCCCTCCTATTTTCTACATGATGGGGGGACAAGTCCCCCCTTGATTTTCAATTCTGGGTTGGACACTGTACTTGTCCTATCACCTTTCCAAGACTAAGTCAGTGGTATACACATACAACAAATGAGATCAATGCTATTATTTCTTTTCCATTAGATGATGTGCCACGAGATCCTTCCCTTCTGCTGATTGTAAAGTGGGGAGGGGAGCTAACTCCTGCAGGGAAGATTCAAGCAGAAGATCTTGGAAAGGCTTTCCGTACTTTATACCCCGGAGGTCAGGGTCAGTGCATGTTTAGTTTAGCCATGTTCTTAGCAGGAAGGTATAGGCAAGGCTTACTTTGTTACTTGCATAGAGATAGCATAGTTACTGATTCTATTCTCATTAACATTCTCACCCAACACCCATCTGTCAAGTTGTGATATTATCTAATGGGAAGTTGACACAATAAACAGCTTTTCCATTGGATGAGAGGTTGGTCTCATGATGTAGTCCCTGATGTCCATAAGCTTGTTGCTGCTTACAAATGACACATTTTGATGTTCATACGTTTTTCACGAGACTATCCTTGAATTGACTAAACACTGTTGGACTTCTTCCACATTCCTCGGAATCAATCAGTGATACCTAAAACTTTTAATCACTGTGGTTCATTAACATATTCTGAAATCTCATCCATCACTTTTATCATGTCAGCCATTTTGACATCCTGTATTCGATGTAAATTTATTATGATGCACTGATACTGTGACAGACATAGTGAGGTAGTTCTTGTCAGACCTTTCTCATCTAATGATGATATTATTTGAATCTATTTGTTCTAACCAACTAGAAATGATGTTACTGTGGGGCAATTTGAGCATACATACACTCATGTGACCTCTACTTTTAAGTAACTATTTTATTCCGCGATACAGTCATATTGCTGTCATTGTGAACATAAAGTAACACTTACTAAATGAAGATGTGTATACATCCTTTGAGGTATAAAATAGTGATATAAGAAGATTGTTAGAATTGACATTCACTTTCTTTGAGTTCATTTGAGTAGAAAGCTTCATAGAATGAGAGCCAGTCATTTTGTGAATATAACTTATTAAGAGCCTTCTTATGCGGTAATGCAGATCATTCCACATGTGGTCAAGGGAAACTCAGATGTGTTTTGCTTTTGACAAGATTGATTATGACACGTGACGTGATGTTATTCCAATCGTTGCATTTACTAACATTACACTTTTTAACTGAAATGCATGACTTTTTTGCTTGTATTCATATACATTAGTGTAGAGATGTAGTTGTTTTCATTGGAAGAGTGAACATGTTTGCAGTTGAAATGGTGGAAAGAACAAGGTAACTTTCATCATGGTAGTAGGTAGATTTTCTATTCACAGGTTACAGAGACCAATCTTATCTTAAAATATGTCGAATCTTGACTCTCTCAAGTTTGATCAGTTTGAATAGTTGGTTAGGTGGCAAATTAGTGAGACATGGTCAGGAATTCTCACCCTCCAACTGTTATAGTTGTCTTGCTGTTTGATATCGTTATTGGGATGCAAACAGCCTTATACTATAGATGAGTAACCTTTGTAAACATTATCCTGCATGAACATTTCAAGATCTTACACAAGTTTGGAAAGTTGCCACCATGACCAGATGTGTGAGCAGTTAAACTGTATGTGCTTTGCTCTTTATTTTTGGTATGATAGGTCAGTTTGAATCTCCCGGGTTGGGCTTCTTGCGACTACACAGCACCTTCAGGCATGACCTCAAGATATATGCATCGGATGAAGGTCGAGTCCAGATGACTGCAGCAGCTTTTGCCAAGGTAAATACAGCACTGGATCTCATGGATGTAACTGCAGGGAAATGCAATTTCTTGTAGCGTCTGTATAGAGTAGTTTTTCATTGGCGTGCATATTAAGTCTTTATGTAGTTCCAAGTCTGGAACATATCAGCTTTGTTTCGACGTGCAGTTCTATATCAACAAGCAAGATAACAAGCTCCCCAAAACTTTGATGTTTGATATAGGAATGTGCACATGAAGCATAATTAATAGTGCTTTTTCTCAGTACAATCCATACACAACACAGAGGAAAGGAATGCAGATGTGGATCCAGGATTGTGTCAGGAAGTGAACAATAACATTATAGGTTGGCGTATTAGGTGTCTGAGTAAAAGTGGGGTGCCGCCCCTGCACCCTCCTCTGGATCTATCAATGGAAATGTGTTGGCAGACAACCTATCATCACCCACACATTAAGCACACAAAGGGGCCATGTGGCTTATGGGTACACATCTTGCAGTTGCATCCCTTTGTGTGCCTGTATCAACTAATGATGGGTTTGATTCCTAGAATTGTCCTCATGATCCTTGGTCTTCCACACCATATTAATGCAGTGTTTGAAATTAAGCCTGAAAGTAATGGGATCAGTGTCCATAGTGTCATTACCCTATTGTCAAAAGTGAAAAGTTTAGCAGGTTCCTTCAGACTTCCATTTGTTCCCTAACATGAAGAAACTCAAGCCATAATCCATTTTGACTTAGAAGATGATGTCATAGCATTTATAGCTGTGGAGAACGTTTTGAACAGCCAAGAGAAGGACTTCTACAAAACCGAGACATAATCTCTCCAACATCTTGGCAAATGTGTATCACTGTGGAAGGAGATTATGTTGAAAAACATATCATTTTAATGTCTTTAGGTCAAGTCTTTCTATATGAGACTTAGAACTTATCAATCATGCAGTTATTATTTTGTACTTTGTCGCTTCAGCATTTATGGAACATGTAATGGACATGCTTACTGTATAATTTTATCTTATCCTGACTCATACAAATAAGTAATAAGTATGAGTCAGGATAAGTATAAATGATATTTTTACTCTAAAAAATACATTTTGTTCCAACATAGGGGTTCTTGTGTTAAACAAACACCCTTTTGTGCAGAGAAAGGGGAGTAACCTGTGTATCCTCACAGAAGAAACAATACTTTGCAGGGTTTGCTGGCTCTTGAAGGGGAGTTAACTCCAATCTTGATCCAGATGGTGAAGAGTGCCAACAATAATGGACTTCTGGACAGCGAGGGGAAGGAATCCAAGTACCAGCTTGTGTATGTGCCCTTTTTTGTGCTTACAATCTTTAAGAATACTCAGCATGACGAGGAAAACTGCAAGTTCCTTCATCTGATTAGAACAGCTTCAAATAATCTGGTAGTTACCTTCATAACAGAATTAATATTTAGCAATTACTGAGGTTATGTTTGCTGGTAGTAAAATTTGCAAACATGCAGCACCGAATAACACCACTTTTCTGTGACTGAGCCAATTTGCTTTATAACTGCGCTTAGGACAGTATTATGGCAGTGATGTTTTAACTGTTTATGGTTTCAATTTTGAATGATTTGGGTATTGAAATTATTTGTCATTTTTATATGGATGAGGGTTGGCATTGGTTTAATATGATAGTTTAGACTTTAGGGAATGCTTTTTTTCGTAATCAATCTGTTTTTGATGCATCATGTATGAGACATAACTAATAACAGTAGAATGTAGGATAGTACTAGCAGCAAGATATAGCATGTCATCACTTACATTACAGTTATATTCATATCAGAATCCTGAAGATCTTTAAGTTACTGGATACATTTACAAAGAGTTGTACCACCTACCGTTAGGATAATATAGATCCCGTCTTTCTTATAGGATGTTCTTGAGATTTGTTCAGAACACATTTTGAAGGTTTGCATTCTCCATTACAAAATTAGCTTACTCATATACATCCCTTATTTCCATTGAGAAAAATACTTGTGTTGTGCTTCTGTCCCATCTCTCTAGATCTTCCTACCTTTTTGCTAGACGTACTACCCTGTGTTTATCACTTTCAGCTGATTTCCTTTAAATTTGATGGTGTAGGTAGGTACCCAGTAGTTTCACCGTGACCGTGATAATACTTGATAGAGTTGTGGCACTAATCTTACAAGTATAGTAATTCATTGTATAAGAATTATGTTATGCCATGATTCTGCCCTTGACATAGTTGATGTTAGTTGTTGCATAATGGGTAAAGCAAGTCTTATTCTGATACAAATAATATTTGTTGTCTATATTCTTGAATTTCCAAGTTTTCAAAACCATTACATTCTGTGGAAGTACTTTGGTATGCAGCTGCTATAAAAAGAGTTGGCAGTTTCACCTGTAAGCCCTTTAAGGGCAATTCAACTTGCTTATCACTGTGTTGATCGATTATTTCAAATTATTTTTTTTGATGGTTCACATATCATTTTTAGCTCACCTGGACCAAAGGTCTGAGTAGGCATGTGTCATGGCTTGTTTGTCTGATATTGCTGCTCAGGAACATCTTCTCTAGAAATGATAAACTGTTCCTTCAATAAGCCAAAACCTTTCATAAATGTTCACACAAATGATGGCACCAAAGTTTGCTCAGTTGTTCCATTCATTAATATTTTTATCAAAATTAAAAGTAATTAAACTGAAAATACTGGACAAATGTTCATTATTCTTAAACAAATTGAAAAACCACACAACTTGATCATTTTGAATTTTTTTACAGACAGCAAATACAGTGTGTGAACATGTGCAATATAGTGTTGAAGGTTTTTTAAAGGCATCATGATCAGCAGCCATTGTAGATGACATTGCAGTAGTTGATGGATGTTAGTTACTTTAAGCATAATAAAATTGAATTTGCTCAGTAAAAGAAGGCCTAGAAAGGAAACTTAGTATTTTCAACGTTTCTGTTTACCTCAAAACATCTTGATCCAGCATATTTGGCCATTGCAGATGAAAATTTGCCAAAAATTGGAAAATAGTGGCATTTCCAGGGAAAACTTGACTAAAGCTGTTATTGTGCTTATAGTCTTTGCCTAAGCTGGATTGTTTCAAGTGCTGACTCATGAATTCAGTTTTTGGGGGGTGGGAATCATAAATATTGGACCCTGGAACATGTATAATATATAATAACTGTATAGTGATTTTCATCTATTTGCTAATACAAACCTTGACATTTGGTGACTTTTCTTTTTATTGAATCGTTTAAGTGAATATATCTTACAAAAAGGTGAGCTTACGGCACTGTGGCACTGTTTTCAGACTTTCCATGTGTTTGAAATCCTCCTGATATACTAGACTTTTAGTAGGCTTATTTCTTCCAGATGGAACAATCACCAGGCTTTGTAAGCACTGCACTCCATGACTGTATGGTTCTGACCCTGTTAAACTGCTACACTAACTGACAACAATCAGCTCTCAACCCTCTAATGCCACTCAACAGTTTGGTCTGAAGTGTGGCTAACTCAGTAATATTCCCACCCCCCTCAATATCCAGATATCTGCATTCAACTATAGACCCTGTTTCATCATTATAAAGTATAAAAACTCTTTCATAAAAATATGATGTCATGTGCCCTTTTACTTTCAGATGTAAACTTTGTACTTGTCAGTAATATCCATGCACAGTTGGGGTTTCCAAAGATGCAAGAATCCATATTTGGTGCAATGTTAGGAATAACAATTTTTAACAAAAGTCTTACAAACTTTACTTCATAGAACTTGATTCTGACAGATATAATGTCTTCATATTGGCTTTTGTAAGCTAAATTTACTCTGACCAGTCAGTTTTAGTCTTTTTCTCTGTAGGGTTGTTCACTTAGTTCATAACATTTGCAGGTTCACATTGTAAATTGTTTGAAATATAACAGAGACACATTTGTGTAAAATATTTTGTGTAATATATCTTGACAAGAAAAGTACTGGATGAGGAGATCAGGCTATTTGTTAAAGGCACTGACTGAACAATGCAGAAATGATGTCTATTTTGCCCTTGTATCTGCTTTGCTTAGGCATATCAGAATCCTTCAATCACAGGTCCGTCAGGATATGGCTGAAATATTGCCGATGTGACGTAAAGCATTAACTCACTCACTCACTCACTCACTCACTCACTCAATCACAGGTTCAAATACCATATTCGGCCTGATTATTATGTTAGTTTTGTCAGCTCATACCTGTACCTGGATTTCAGGAATGTAGTAAACTTGTAACACGTGCATCACTTCAGGCTATCCTGACATTAAGCTGACACACTGAAATAACTAAAAATACTGTTCAAAGCAGAGTTAAACTTAAACCCAACTTGCTCAATCAGTCTTTGTATTTGACACAGAACAAGCAGCTCAGATAGGTACATATGTCCTTAAATACTGTAAATCTGGAAATGTTTGCGAGCAGGCAAGTCCTGCGAAAACTGCAAGTGACACACATTCACATTGGTTTCATGATGCAGTTATTTTGGCAGACCAATGCCCAAAAAATATAATTAAGGAGGCATATTTCTTTTATTCAGTTCCACACATTGTCAAACCAGCCAGTACATGATTATTTGAATAATCTCTCACACCCTGTTACCTTAAGTACACATGATCACTCAGTGTCAATAACCTTATCAGGAAAGTTAACAAATCTGCCACATATTGTCAAGCTGCTTACATGACGCAAGCCAGTCTATACTGTATGATAAACACACTACTACAATCCTCCTTGTCCATTACAACAAGACATGTATCTATGGTTATCTATGGTCACTAACTGACACTGAGTTACCATTTCATCTCACTGCATCCTACTTATAAAGATAGCATGTGCAAAGTAGCTTTAATCTTTGGTAATCTTACAACAGGATGTCACAAAACTTTCCAGGCACATTTACAGTCATGTTGGCCACTCGCAATAATGTAAAGGGGCAAAACTTTCCAGATCTACAGTGTCCGAGTTTGTTATCACAGTGAGCCTTGATTATGAAAGTCTAAATGCTGTTGCCCTATGGAACCTGACAACTCCTTTCACATTCAACAACATTTGAAAACCTATATAACTGTAACAGTTTGTGTGCAAATTTTTAAGCCTAGATCTGCAAATACATGTACATCACACAACAGTGGACAGAGCCAGTAAGGAGCTCAGCGTTAGAAATTGGCACTAGTCCTATAGTCCTTGCCAAACTGCCCAATGGTAAAGGTATCATAAGGACTTGTAGAAATTTGCTTTTTTTTAAGGGTTTTGCCATATGTTATCATTATAAGGACTAGTGGACGAAAGCTGTTAGTTTCTAACCCTGGAGCTACACTTCAGTTTATCATCCTTGAAGTAGGAGTCCATAACAGTAATGATTCATGAACACAAACAAATATCTTCAAGTTTATTATTACAATTTCTGTGTACAACTGTGTGTTTGATTAAATAGATGTTAGTTAAAAAAGACCTGATTAATTAGTTCCAGACATATAATTATTCCAGATCTATTACTAAATGTATTTTTCCTATAATGAAATCTTTTAATAATAGATACATTTTCGTACCTAAAGACTAAGTACCAGTGACAAGTTAATTGATACAGTATGTATCATGATGCTCTGAACAATACATCAAATGATATGGCAAGATACCTAACCCGAAATGCTTTATTTAGCAAGTCAATCAAAGTTGTAGTCTACTTAACTGATAAACTCCTGGCTATATCCTAAAAAAAATGAATTCCAAACTATTTCTACTAGGGCTGAGACGGGTAACTCGGGTACTCGAGTCAGGTGGGTACTGAGAAGGACCCGGGTACCCAAAGGACTACCCGGACCCGTGGTTAGTCATGTAATATATTGTTGAATGACAAAAATTATCTGGAACTACAAGTCATTAATGTTTGCATTTCTTTCTGACTATGAACCCATTCCTTCTGACTTTTATATGTTTGAATAAAGATAAAATTTCAGTCAACTTCAGTGTATGCATGACCAGATCGTTTTATATGTATATCTAAATAGATTTTGTCCAGGGCTACGGTCAAACTATTCCCAATTGGATATTTTGTACCCAACTCCTGAGACCTATAGCGGGTACCCGGGTAGGGTCGGGTAATGTCAGGTAATAGAGGGGTGGGTACCTGGGTAGAAAATTTGGACTCGTCCCAGCCCTAATTTCTAGCCATAGAAAATGATTCCCTTTTTTGTGTTAGTTTTGTATCAACTTATGACAACATATGGTACTTTTATTGTAGCAGTATGTGCTTTACTTGGGTGAATAAGTGCAGTAAAAAGGCATACAGAGGATATTGATTTGTTCCCACTTGAGTGACGAAGGTATCAACATCATAATGAGAGCCATAGGCAGTCATATGTTTTGTACGAATCTAGAATTATTCCCATATCATTTCTTTTCCACTGAAAATGCTGAGATTTTCAAAAGTTAACTACACCTCTGACGTTATATATATCATTTTTTGGTCCATCTATGTATCTATTTCTGTTATATTATTCATTCATTTGTGTTTGCTTGCCAAGTTTAATCAAAAGTTGTCAGCCTGGCCGGTATAGCTAAACAAAACCACCAACTTCAAATGTGCTTTTCACAGCATATCAATGTTACATTTCCCTGATATGATTACATATTTGTCACATCTATAATCAGGAAGAGTGAATTTATATTGCTACCTTTGAACTAAGTGTCTGTTTGGTACTAAATTTTTATAGTAAAACATTTGCTGTGTGAAATAGAAAGTAACTTTCTTTCTCTAGTATTTTAAACTAGTTTCTCTCAATGACCTCATGCTAAAGCCTGCATGGATTTGCTTATGCTAGTTGCATTTCCCAGACTAAATGTTTTGGTTTTGATGGAAAGCTTGTATAACCTATACCTTTGGGGAAAATTGTGTGGTTGCTATTGCTGTTTGAAACTTACAAACATGCCTTGAAATTACACAGAGTAAGAAGTAGTTTTACTGTTACCATAATTCACCATTGTTGCTGTTTTTGACCACACTTGCTGTGCTTTACCCACAATGCACCTTCTAGTTAGGTTAATCTGTCTCAAAGTTGTTTACTTGCAGTTAGTGATAGTACTAGATACAAGATACTTGAAGCAGATACAATAAATAGAATTTGACAATATTCCATTTCTCGGTCATGCAATTCTTTGGAGTTAATCATCTGTTAGACTCATTGTGTTTCTCCCTTCTGTTTTATTTCTTTTTCTTTCCTCTATACATATTTTGGTTGATAGTTTCTTTCTTTCATACTTCTGTTTGTATTCTTGATGTTCATTTAATAATTTCCCTAAATTATATTCTACGCTAGTCTTAAGTTTGCTTTATCTTTTTTCTTACATTTTGATTCATCATTTCCACCTGAGTACAATTTGATGAATGCTTTTCTCAAATTTACATGAGACTTATGTGTGTTTTTGCATTATCCTTGCAATTATTTCTGTTTCCAGTGTCAAGGAAAAATTGAAAGATATTTTTAATGAAGACAAAGATTTCACTGAAGAAGATTATGAGAAGGTGAGAGCTTTCCTGTCCTAAAGATATGGTCAATAAATGATATTGGAGATGTTTGTTACAGTTAAACAATATTTTAAAGTAAGAACTTGTCAAAGAAAGACACAACCTCATTCCTTTTTGAAAAGCTGACTTGCTTTTAATGATGGCACTTGTTCCTTCAGCTGGCTCCAACAACCAGTATATCACTAATCAATGCCATGAAGTTCGTCAAGAACCCTAGACAGATGTGTGAACGAGTTCATGAAATGATCCATGAAATAACGTCCAAAATCAGAGCTCTCAAGGTGGAACTCAAGTCCAGGGGTGAGTGTCTGTTATTGTTTCTTTTCTTTTACTCTGCGTCACACTGACAACCCAGGTTCAATGCCCAACATTAGTACAATGTGTATAGTCCTCTATTGGTGACCTGACTGCAATGTAAAAATCAAAACATTGAAGAATTCTGTTGCTGAGACTGGAATACACACCCATTGACTTCCACTGTCTAAAGAAGCATTAAACCCAACTCACTCACTCACTTTGTATCCTTGCAGACCTAAAGCTGTATCATGGAGAATCATGGGAGTTGCTAATCCGAAGATGGGCCAAGTTGGAAAAGGATTACAAAACAAAGATAGGGAGGTTTGACATCAGCAAGATCCCTGACATATATGACTGCATTAAGTATGATCTACAGCACAACCAGAAGACATTGCAGTTTGAGAGAGCAGAGGAGCTGTTCATGTGCTCCAAAGCTCTTGCTGACATCATTATTCCCCAGGCAAGGCCAACCTTTTTCATCACAGGGATCATGGGTCTACCTACTTTAATATTTTTCCAATTGTTTTTACCTCAGTTATATTTGAGTTATTTTTCAATATCTTGTAATCTGTAATACCTGTACCTATGATATCAAAATGAGACAAGTATGAATGCAATGGTTAGTTTGTAGTCATACAAATGTGAATTGTATCACATGCCAGATGTTACATCATAAGTAAAGGACAACAATCAGAATTTGCAAGGCAGTTAGATTCACTTGAAGGGGAAAATGCAGCATCGAGAAATGCGAGTTTGCATCCCAACCGTTAAAACTTTACCTCGCTGACTTGGTTGATACATGTCATTGATCCCAATTGCTTGGATCGATGCTCATGATGTCAATCACTGGATTGTCTGGTCCAGACTCGATTATTTACAGACCGCCGTCATAGAGCTGGAATATTGCTGGGTGCGGCTTTAAGCAAGAAATAACCAACAAAAAACAATTAAAACTTTACCTTTTGAATAAGTTTGTTATGACATAAGTTTGGTAGAAATTGACTTCATGTACTCAAAACCTTAGATTTTATTGTTACCCGTGAAGGTTTATGTTAGAATTGGTCTTCAGCAAACCAGGCTTGTTGTGCGAGGCAATTAATGGGATCGGGTGGTTTGGCTTGCTGACTTGGTTGATGCATGTCATCGTATACCCAATGACATTGATTGCTGCTCATGATGTCAATCACTGGATTGTCTGGTCCAGACTTGATTATTTACAGACTGCCATCATAAATTATAGTTGGAATATTGCCCAGTGTGGTGCTAAACAACAAACAAAAAAATTAGATTGTATTGTGAAAATGGGCTCTTTACACGTAACCATTGCAGGTCTATTTCAAGATATAGGGATTTAGATCATAGATGTGTAGAGCCATGTAGAGTACATAGACACCTTTGAGAATGAGGATTCTGACTTGGTCCTCGGTACTTCATACTTGTCGTGAGGGCTTTCTAAAATTGGAATTGTGTAGTAAAGCTCTATCACTTGGGTGATTGCATGTCATTGTATCAAGATGGTGAGGATCAGTGTTCAGGTTTTATGTCACTGGTATGCCTGGCCAAAACTCGAGTATTCACAGGACATTGTGGAACAAAGGAAATGTTGCCAACTGCGGCATTGAACAACATTAATTCATGTTGAGATTTGTTACTACAGGAATATGGTATCACTGTGGAGGAGAAACTGCATATCGCCCAAAACTACTGCACGCCATTGATGCGGAAAATACGTAGTGACTTGCTTCAGTGTCTCCACTCCAGTGACTCCACGATGGATGATAATGCCACAAGACTTGACTCAAGGTAATGTTTCACCGTTCTACTGATAGAAATTGCAAATGAAATCCTAAAAATCCTTGCCATTATTTTGATATTAAATATATGAGTGTAAGTGTGAACATCTTTAGATGCAGAGATATTTTGTGAAGATGTTTTCTTTACCAAGTTGTGAAGAACAAATTGTTGAACTAATTAAGTACTTTGTATGTTGCCTATTGATTCAGGGTTGTCTAATACACAGATAGGGTTTTCAGATACAAAGAAGTTAATGACTGTTATTTCAGGGATCAGTATCATCACTGATACTTCCAACTATTTTTTTTGTAGGTATTCTAAAGGTGTTGCATCTCCAGAGAGATTTGTGCGGACACGCTTGTACTTCACCAGTGAGAGCCACATACACTCACTGCTCACTATGCTCAGATATGGAGGACTTTGTGATGTATGTACATGTTATTATTCATTTAGATCATTAATATGACGTTGCTTTATTGTAAATATGTCATTTATGACGTCATCACTTAAGTGTGGACTCATATTGTTTGTGTCAAGTACAATTTAGACTGCATGCTAATCTGAATAACATTTTCGATATCTTATCATTGAGATTATGTATGAGTAATCTTCAAGACATATTTTACTGTCAATCTGCAGCAATAATTGGTTGTCAGATTTTGTTCTGTATTCATTTCTCAGTTAGATTGTCCAAACAAATTTAGCTGTATCAGATGTAAGAGGGGCAATCAATGTAAGAATTCATTCACATTATTTTGCCAACTGAATTCTAGTACAATGAATTCTAGCCTATGTGTGAAAGCTTATTAAGAAGTAAACGACTCATGGTCATTGTTTATCGTACAATAATACACTGCAGGGAGAATATACCATGAGGGGAGCAGCCCTGAGTGTTTTTTTCTCCCTGCAGTGTTTTATTTCCTCCCTTTAACATTTGTTTCGAGGCTCACTACACAAACACACTTTCTGTTTATTCTCCAATTGAGCAATTGCCAAGTATACCGTCCATTCATGATATGAGCGACATGTATTTCGTTATCATTACTGACAACATACAACATTCAAAATTATCTTGCATATTTTGATGAAAACATGTCGAGATGAATTAATATCATTGAAATATGTGCTTGCTCAGAAGGACAAGTGTTTGTTAACCTCTTTCTCACCCTGCACATGCTGCCACTCGTCAATACGAGTGTACGAGTGAATATTTAGAGCCCTTAACATTAAGGATGTTAATATAAAGTACAAGCTTTAGAAATAATTACCTGTATTTAAATAATGATGACTCCCTGAATACAACCCAACCTTGGCAATGTTGGACAAGTTGAATTTATGAAAAGGGGGTAAGTTTGGTATTTCCTTGATATTCTCACAATTTTCACGTGGTGTATATGTACCTTTTCTCCTTTTACCTATGTGTGAAAACTTGATAACATGATCATGGTGACCTTCTGTCTGTGTAGCCAAAGAAAGATGAGCAGTGGAAGAGGGCTATGGACTTCCTCAGTGCAACAGCAGAGCTCAACTACATGACTCAGATTGTCTTAATGATGTTTGAGGACCCTAGCAAGGTATGCTTCATTTAATATAGAAAATACAATGTCTTTGATTTGGTTTTTTTTTTTTTCCATCCTTTGTTTAATAAATTACTACACAACTGTTTTGTATTCATATTCTATGGAAGTGATTTTTAAAGACAAAAATCATTAGGACAATTTCTATGCCTTTATCCAAATTTGAAAATACCCTTTGGACATTTTGGATGACAATCAGTCAATGTCGAAAATATGTATAGCTCTGAAACCCTTTCTAACCCAACTAACCATCAGAGTTTAGATTTTGGAATCCGGAAATAATGTCTGTGTATTAAATGACATGAAAATGAAGATGCAATTTTCATAATCATCGATGGAAGCTATTCACTGTGCAGTTGAGGTGAATCCTGGAGTTCTTGAAGTGTGTTGCTGGAATTGATTAACCTAAGGAAATCCAAACCTTTTTAACATTAGTATCAAGGAAAGGACTTCTTAACTTTATCATGCTCTTTTAAGATTGAATTGCAAGAAAAATTGATGATTATTTGAAACAGGACCCCAACTCTGATGAGCGCTTCCACATGGAGCTCCACTTCAGTCCCGGTGCCTACACTTGCTGTGATACCAGTCTGGCTCCTTCCTGTAGTATGGGATATAGACCTAATCCAAAATCTGACAAGGTAACATCACTGTTAGGATGATTCCCTAGATGTAGCAAACTGATGACTTTGAGCTGACTTTTTCTGATAGGTCTGTTTTGTCTTTCACTACAATGTTATCACCCATAGTTTACCATTTACAGAAAATGAAATTCTCTTTACAAAGCAAGCTTACAATCTTTCACATGTAACAAATAAATGAAGTGATAGAAAAAATACACTAGCAAGGTTTTACCTTGACTTTCAAAACTTGAGGTCCAGGCGACCTCAGTAACTAAGGGAACTTACAGAAAGAATGAGGGTTCTGTAAAGTAATGAAATGGTGTAGTGTAAGATTTGAGAATTATGTTTACAACAGGACCTTTTTCTTGTTAAGAATTCAGTACAAAAGATGTTATTGGGTGTCTCTCACAATGCAATATTCGTTTTCCCTTCTTTACATTTGTGTGGACTGTATTCACATTTTTGCATCTTGTAAAAACTCTGTACTAGATAACGTTATTCGACATTTCAACAACCTTGTTCCTGATTCTATTTTGATAACAGAAGGAGAAGGGCTTTGTAGAAGGTTCTATCAAGGGCTCGGCATCCTGGCAGAGTTACACTTTACCTCCTGACCCCTTCTTGAAGCCACGACTCTCACACTCGGAACATCAAGCCACCATTTTGGAGTCTCTGGAGGTAAGGGTCTTCATTGATTCACTAATCATTATAGATTTCTGGAAATTAAAATGTTTTTATTAGGTAAATTCAGACCTCTAGCTAATTCCAGCTATTGTGTATTTACTCACAAGTTATCATTCACATTGGGTATAGGAAGATATGTTCTGGTAATCAATACATTTTTATACTTGGGGTCCAGTTGATTGGGTATTTCTACACCAGTAGCGATAAACAACAATAATTTGAGACGTAGCTCCTTATTTTATTCCTTATTCACTGCAACAGAGTTCATGTATGTGTGATGTCTTCATTGGATCAATAAATAAGGATCAGTAATGAAATGCTGAAAAGTTAAATGAGTATTTACACAGAACGTTGTCATACTACCGGGGTATTCTCTTTTTGAATTTCAGGCATATTTGTGCACAAGCAACCTAAAATTAATTGGGTAATGGTGATTTTATTTGTGTATTTGATGCAAATACACAGCTTATCATGGGCTCAGGTAAATTCATTACTAGGAACCAACAAAATATCTTATATATATTACATTAAGTAATACGTTACCACTGTTATACCGAGGCTGTTGTCTCCCACAACTGCTGCTATAGCGAAATCTACCACAGAGATCTCAATTACCTCATGCAGCACGTGCGTAGCCACCCAGCTGCCATGTGACACCCTTCACTCTTGTCTCCTTCGTCTGCTTAGCAAGACGTGTTTTCTCCTGCTGAAGCGTTCCTTGAAGATTTGGTGATATTTATTATAGTTTATTCTCTAATAAACTGTGCTTTTATGGGGCGTTGCGGTAGCTACGCTTGGTTATAATTTTCCCGCCCTTTTTTCTATATACTTGCGGGGTTCGCGTATGCACGTTGTGTTTTACGTTTCCCCTGTTCTTGTATGTTTTTGGGGTTCACATCACTTATTTCTTTAATAAAAGTTATATGTGTATGTTATATGTTCACATTGCTCGTTTATTTTCTTGTGAAAATGTTCGTTTGTGAATCATTGTGATGCGTGCGTTGTAACCATGTTTTGTTCTTTGTTTATAGCAAACAATCAATGTCTGACATGGATATATCCCCAGTATCCACCCCCTCTACCCCTGCTCCTCGGAGTTGTGGGGTGTGCAGAAAGTTTTTGTCGTCCCGGGATCCCCACGATCGTTGCCCGCGGTGCAGGGTTCCTTGCGGGGACACCCGGTGCATCCTGTGCGAAGGTCTGGGGCCTGCGGAGTTTGAGCGGTACCGGCTGTACGTACAGTCCGTCTCCACCCCTGTGGTGGCTGGTTCGTCCGGTCGGGGTCCCCGTGCGGGTACCACCTCCTCGGCTGTGGCGGATCCCCTTGCGGCCCTCGGGCTGTCTGGGGATTCCGTCGCCGCATTGTTGTCGACACTTGTGGTCTCCAAGCTGGCGGCCTTATCGCAAGATAGGCCGCTGGCTGTTCCGTCCCCGGCCTCTTCGGCCGCGGGGTCGGCCGCGGGGTCCACCGGTAAAGCGGCGGATCTCTTGGCGGCCCGTGTGCTGTCCGGGGATTCCGTCGCTGCATTACTTGCATAACTTGTGGACTCCAAGCTGGCGGCCTTATCTCAGGATAGGCCGCTGGCTGTTCCGTCCCCGGCCTCTTCGGTGGCCGCGGGGTCGGACGCGGGGTCCACCGGTACGGCGGCGGCTCCCGTGGTCACCGGTCCTTCCCCCAAAACCGCTGCTCCCGCTATCGGTTTAGGACCGCGTGGCCATGGTTTATGACCTCTTTGAGGACATGCCCCGGCCGGTACCGCGGGGAATCCACGACTGTGGGTTCCTCCGAGGTATACGATGAGTCTTCCGACACGGCTTTCCCCGCATCAACCTTGCTGCGCGGTTTCAAGCCTTCCTTGGAGAACGCCTTCGCGGCGGCCTCCGGTCGGGGGGCTCCCGTTGCCTCCGACGTCGTGGAGAAAGGGTTTCTTCCCGGTACATGACCTTGCCTTTCCCGAGGCTGGTCCTACCGCGGAGGCCCATGTTGAGCGGTTGGGTGTCCGTGCCCCACCGGCTGCTACGGTAACGCAAGCTACCTTGCACCAGCTGGACGCCCTCGCTCGGCACTCCATGTCTCACGGAGACACTTACTTGGCTGCAGCGGCCCGTCTGGTCGAAGGTTCTCCCACGGACCGTGACCAGCGCATTTACAACTGCCTGCTCAGTTTAAATGCTTCCCTGGAGTACGTTGCCGAGGACTCTCGGCACACACTTGCTCTTGTTGGGTCCCTGCATAGGCGCCTGGGTGCCGCTCCTAACCGGAGCGCGCCCCAGGCTGCTGCGGCCGGTAGGTCTAAGGGGTCGGGTTCTTCTTCCTCTGGGAAGTAGCCCCGCCCTGAGGGCTCCGGTATGGGCAATCAGCTGCCCTTTCGCGGGAAGACGGGGAACTGGGGGAAGCCCAAGTCGTCGACGGACGGCAAGGGCCCCTCCAGGTGACTCTCATTGGAGGGGTTCGTATGCCGACAGCGCCAACTTCGGTTGGCCCTTAGGCGAACCCGAGTCACTTGGCCCTCGACAGTTGCGCCTGCCGCAACCTGTCAGGGCCCCCTCTCCTTCCCCAGTGGGAGCCAGACTCCAGACTTACTGGGAGAATTGGGAACAAGTGTTCGACGACCCGTGGGTGGTCAACACGATTCGGTACGGCTATCGGCTTGATCTCAAAGCGAATCCGCCGCTCACCGTTGCCCCGTTGGCAGGTTTCGATTCGGAAACCGATCTTCCCATCCTCGCCGATGCCATCGGCAGGTTGGTGGAGAAGGGGCAGTACGGGAGTTAGCTCTACCAGAAATAACACCGGGGTTTTACTCCAGGATATTTCTCGTTCCCAAGTAGGACAGTGCCGAACTCAGAATGATTCACACGTCCGCTCCCAGGCTGTTCACCCGGTTAACCACCCCCATAGTGGGGTTCCTCCACAGGAGGGGTGTCCGGTACTTCGCGTACCTGGACGACTCGCTAGTAGCAAATCGAATGACGGACACCCTGTCACGCCATCTCGTTTTCGCACGTCGGCTCTTGGAGCAATTTGGGTGGATTATCAATCTCCCCAAGAGCGAGTTAACCCCTTCTCAGAACTTGCTGTTCATCGGAGGTCGGTTCAACACGGTGTCCCATCGCCTCTTTGTCCCCCCAGACCGGTGGCACAAAATTCAGGCGATGATTGCCAAAGTCTTAGCGGTGCAACAGACTGTTCACTTTTGGGAACAGCTGTTAGGGCTACTTGTATCAGCCCAAGACTGCACCGCACGGGGTCGTCTCCAACTCCGCCCGCTGCAACGGTTTTGAATCCAGTTGTTAGCAACGGAGGTGAACAGTGCGACCGTCGCCCTCCCGGATCGGCTCCGACCGCATCTGGAGTGGTGGACGGTCCCTTACATTGTCTTATCAGGAGTCTCTATGCGGCCCTACCGGGCCACGTTGACCCTGTATACAGACGCCTCTCTAGTGGGCTGGGGCGCCCATCTAAAGGGGGAGGTGAGCTCGGGGCTGTGGTGTGTAGACGAACTAGGTCTTCACATCACTTGTCTCGAGTTCAAGGCAGTGATCAACGCAGTCAATCACTGGAAGCATCGTCTCGTCGACGCCCGGCTCATGCTGGCGACCGACAACACGACGGTAGTGTCCTATGTGAACAAACTGGGGGGAACCCACTGTCACTCACTACTCGATCTCACGTTCAAGTTTTACACTCTGGTGGACAGTGTCCCGTGCCAGATACGCGCCCGTCACATCCCAGGTGTGCGGAACGTACTGGCCGATGCTCTATCGAGGCCTCAGGATCCGAGCCCCACAGAGTGGATGCTGAACCCAGTAGTGTTTCAGTGGCTGTGCGAACGTTTGGGTCGTCCGATGGTCGACCTGTTTGCAACGCGGTTCAACAATCAACTCCCGTTGTTTGTATCACCAGTCCCGGACCCGAGGGCCATCGATCACGATGCTCTCGCGTTAGACTGGGCGGGCTTGGACGCTTATGCTTACCCGCCGACAGCGTTGATACCACACATTTTAAGCCGGCTCCGAGGAGTTCGCTGTCGAATGTTACTGATCGCGCCCATGTGGCCGAACTGATCGTGGTACCCCGACTTGCTGACCCAGGTCACGCAGTCGCCACTTCCACTGCCTGTGAGACCGGATCTCTTGATCCACCCTCACACCCGTCAGCTTCATCCAAACGCAGGGCAGTTCAATCTGCACGCGTGGATGTTGTCGGCGAGCGTCTGAGGAGTAAAGTTTTTTCTCGCCGGGCGTCTCGGGCATACGTTAGTATGCATCGTGATTCTACCCAGAAGGTGTATAATACACGTTGGGTTATTTTCACGAAGTGGTGTTGTAAACATCACATTCATTCGCCAGATAAGGTATCTGTGCAGGATATTGCTCGTTTCATGTCTCACTTGCGAGAGACCCGGAAACTCTCCGGGGGTTCCCTTGCCAACTATGTCTCGTCCGTTGCTACAGTACGGGGCGTTGCTATGGGTACCAGTTTCTCCAAAGAGCCGGTGATACGGGGTATTATCAAGGGTTTCAAACAGCACGATCTTAAGAAGGGCCGCCTTCGGGCACCGGCCTGGGATCTTTCCCTAGTGTTGCAATCACTTACGGAAGCTCCGTATGAACCCTTGCATAGTGCTTCGTTCCGGCATGTGACTTGGAAAACAGCATTTCTCCTCTCCTTTGCCACGGCGGCACGTGTATCCGAAATTCATGCACTCGATGTCGCCAAGGTACGATTCGATAGGGGTGACGAAGGAGCGGTCCGCCTGGGCCTGCTCATGGGCTTCGTCGCCAAGAATCAGAGAGTCGGGCAAACGGAGAGAGAATTCACTGTAAGATCACTCAAAGAAATCTTACATCCTGCTGATACTGAGGACAGAGCGCTGTGTCCAGTTAGGGCCCTTAAGTATTATCTTAAGGCTTCGAATGAACGTAGACAAGGGCGTGACCGTCTGTTCATATCGTGTAACCCTAATCGCACGGTTGACATAACTCGCAACTCGATTGCGTTGTGGCTTCGTTCTGTCATCAATCTGGCGTACCGGTTTCGGGGGTTACCGGTAGCGGGGTCAAACCCGCACGAGATCAGGGCGCTAGCGGCAACATTTGCCCTACACTCGAATATATCTGTTCGCAGATTATTACGAGGTTGTTACTGGCGATCTGACTCGGTTTTTGCCAATCATTACCTCAAACAGGTCGCTGATGCCGTCGTGGAGAGTGTGCACCGTCTTGGCCCGCGGATCGCGGCGCAAGCGGGCACCTAAGGGGTGTGCCCAGCGCAATTCCGAACTCCTCAGGCGTCTGACCTTGCACGGTGGTCAATCTGGGTCGACTCCAATGTTCCCACTGCCGTGGGTACAGGAGTTGGGGTCCCCCAAACCAGCGCACTCACACCACAGGTGAGGGCGGCTTTTTGTGTGCTTTGTCCTTATTTGTATTTTGACAATTATGTATTTAATTGTCTGTCGTGTATCCCAACCTTGTGATGCATGCTTACAAATACTGGAATTAGGTCACGCGCCTAATGCATACTTTAAGTAGGCTTGCTCTGGGATATACGGTCTGAATGAAATTAATTTCCCTCTTTTCGACTGTTTAACCTGATCTAAGATTAAGCTCACGCGGATACAGTGTTCTCATCCGCTGCGGCGATGAAATACCTATCCAGTGGGGCCGTTTGGAGTCACCAATCGTTTTGGCAATGACGATTGAGCCTTACGGTATGCGCTTGACAGTGCTTTGGTATTCCTATAGGGTAACGCCTAGCTAGGTGCATGCGCATCGAGTGCTTCCGCCTTGGTGTTTACTTCCGCTGGTCGGAAGGAACGCTAGCAGTCAGGATTCGGGTTGTAGGTGCTCCCCACCGCCTACTGTGGTAGTCAGCCTCGGTATAACAGTGGTAACGTATTACTTAATGTAATTTGTAGAATTTTCCTATTCGGAATATTCTATAAGTAATACGTTACCACTGGGCTGCTGCCCGCCCGTCCGTCCCCCGAGCACTTGCTCTCGCAGGAGACAAGAGTGAAGGGTGTCACATGGCAGCTGGGTGGCTACGCACGTGCTGCATGAGGTAATTGAGATCTCTGTGGTAGATTTCGCTATAGCAGCAGTTGTGGGAGACAACAGCCTCGGTATAACAGTGGTAACGTATTACTTATAGAATATTCCGAATAGGAAAATTCTACAAATATATATATACAGTCTCGTTGAGTTCCCATGTTATCAACGGGTTATTATCATGTTGTATTTCCACAGAACATGTACCTCCAACAGGAATCGAAGCCGGATGAGATAATAGAGTCAAACATGCCAGAATGGGACTGGGGGACTGATGATTCTACTGAGGTAAGATATGACAGGTGATATGGGATTATTGAAGAGAGCTCTTGTGGAGTCATTAGTCCAGTCCATGATGTATCCTGTCCAGGCTACCAACAGATCAGCATCGCAAACTACAGACAATGAGGCCAACTGTGGAAAAGTTTGCAGTATGATTTATTAGGATAAGAAATAATAAGAGTGTTTTTATTATTATTCTACTTATCCTAATACAATAGCCTTCCCTGCATTCCCCATCTGAAGGTTTTCAGTAGTTCTCAGATGAGAGGAAAGTTGGGGTTAAGGGGGAGGTAACTGACCTATCAACTAGTGTAGAGGCACATTTTGGGTTTTGGGAATTTGCAATAAGTTGTAACAGGAGAGGTACAGTAAACTATGTTTATTAGAGACACGCTTATAACAAACTGACGATTATAACAAACTGTTTTGTGGTCTTGTCCATTTGCTGTATATATATGCTTATAACAAACTACAGAAAAATTATTTTTTTTAAAAAGTGGTCCCTTTGAGTTAGTTATTACCATAGTTTATTGTATACTAGTATGAACAATACACTAATGTACCGGGAATGTAAGTTGCTCCATGTATTCAGCCTGGGAACAACCCATGTTCATGCTTCACAAAATTAGTTATTGTGAGCCCCCTGGACTTGAAAATAGATAAGACTCCAGTGTTGCAGACTTCAAATACATTTCCCCAGACCACAGGACTGGCAACTTGAAATATCTTACCAGTCCTTGTCAAAAGTTGCCAGTCGTAAATTGTATGCATATCTTTTTCTGTTGTCTTTTACTTCGAACTTGAATTAGGGTTTAGTTTTTGTACTCTGTAGACATCATGGAGATATGTATTACTAATGGACAGAAACAATACGATCATCCATAGGACAGGTAGACTTTGTACTTCACCCGCCCTTCGTGAAATTAACGAGTCACGGACGGTGGGACAAGCTATTTTTTGCTACTCTGGATAGACTGTTGGTAGATAAGTATGTGTTGTTGTGTTGACAGACAAAGGGATCGAGTCCTGACACAGATGAAGAAAAGCAAGTGTCTGAAACAAAGGCGTCTGATGAGACCCTCTCTACAAACAGTGTCTCCAAACCCATCGCCATTTCAAGGAATTCCTCCAGCAACAAGCTGAGTGGTAGTTGCCCATCAGGTAATCTGGCAAACATTAATGCTGTCTAAACTCTACAGGATTCTGCCTTCTGCCTGGCTGTAAACATTAAAGGGCTGATCAGTTGTTGAACATGTCATTATTGTACATAATGCCATGAGCTGTATCCTAAGAACATATTATTTTCATTTTTAAAAATCTGATAAAACCTGTTTTGAAATAATTGTAAAATTGGCCTCTTGAAATTTTTTTGGTTCCATAAGAATTGAATCTGTAACAAGATTAATGAGCTAACAAGGTAACTTTTTAATATTTGGAATGTTGCTGTGACTGAAATAATTTCAAAGTATGCTAAGCAAAGGGCCACATTTACATTCCTGTGGTGCAAACAGACTGCATCATGGCACATGAAGGAATTTTAAGTCCAGTTATAACCTGTTTGGATTTAGGATGTATCAGTAAGCAAGCCCTAATGTCTCTTTAGACCATCTATCCCTCCTTCCGGCTCTCTGTTATAGCAGTGTTCGATATTAAGGGGGGTTCCTGGGGTCATTGAGATTAGTACTATCATATTTGAATCTAGGGACCCTCCAAATCTTTACCTTTTGACATTAGGGTTTTGATTAGGACACTTGGCTTCCCTGCTTAATATCGAACACTGTATAGCTTACGAAAGGGAATGGTATATTTTTATGCTTCTGTTGCTTCTTTTGCCTATAACATCACTGGACCACTGAGGCACGCTCATCATTGTGAGACATATATATTGTTCACTTGACAGGAACAAATGGTGGCCAGAGTTTGGATGACAAGAAGAGTCGTAGCCTTGATGATAAGTCTATTGACACTGTTAGAGACCCAGGTACGTTGTCACACTGCATGCTACACTATGGATATGGAATTAGGTCCTTGCATGATTTGATATCATGCTTGATTATGCTCTGAAAATGCGTGTTTCCTACTCTTCAGTGAAGGCCAAGTTCTGTAATTTTCGAATAACCCCATATGCATTGAATATTTTCAAACATTTGCTTAGTGTAATTAATGGAAAATCTTTACTTCACTCTGAAAAAAAAATGGTTCAAGGAATGTTGAAGTGTGTTTGTTTCCTGTAGCGTTCAAGATAATCAAACAAAAGATGTTTTTTCAAAATAGATTTGTATGCTTTTCTTGAGAGTGTTTGTTTGCTTATTGCATAATGGGTATGGTTTCCAGTGTGACATTAATTAGATGTGTGATTATGTGATAGTTTAGGCACATTCCCTTAAACATAGTAATGTGTTTTATAAAACAGTGTCCTACTCAAACAATAGCTACCAGAAAGTCACAGATTATGAAATCTCTAATACCGTATTCGACGTAATAAGCACGCTGCTCTAATAAACGCCCACGGCAATATTTGATAATATATTGGCTAGTGAACAATCCCAATTAGCACCCCTTCCGATTGATCAATGTACAAAAGACTTATTTATTCGTGTACAATACGCACTTGTGTGTTATATACACCCTTAATTATGGGCAATTAAATTCTGGAAAAATATATTTGTTGTCTATAAACATTTCAGGCTGTCAGCATAAACCACAAAATTTATCTTTCAACTCTGTTTTTTTTCCACCCAAATAAGAGCCCCCTATTTCTAATTTTGAGAGCGCCCTGAGCGCTTATTACGTCAAATATGGTAACCTTTATCTTGGTATTGAAGGGGTAAATACATTTATTTTAAACTTATGGTATGCAGAAAAAAAGCGCAGCCGAAGTCTAGAGGACAAAAACTCTAATGGTGATAACACATCTGAACCAGGTGAGATTTGAGCTGTGGACTGCTCATGTTGCCTGCTTGTATCATACTTGCTCGTTACCCACATTCACATTCACACCCCAACATGCAACTTTGCCTTGCTATTTGTGTATCTCTTTTCATTTCAGACTCTGTGCTTGTACCTATCAGACTGTTGTATACCTAGTAGTTGGCACACTAGATGGATCTAGCAAACTAATTTATTTTGTTTGAACATCTGTGTTACGTTTTCACTTATATCATCTGATGGGTGTTTGGTTGTATTTCAGAAGTTACTTTTAACACAGTGAGATTCACTCCTTCCCCAGTGCTCGGCAGTAGTGTTTATCATTGGTTTGGTTAATGATGAATGTAAAAAGAAAACCGTTGAGGAAACAGTAGTCTTTATGTGAAAAAAATATGAGAACAATAATCTTCTGATGTTTACTATACACTGATGCGCAAACACATTTACTGGGAAAGCAATGTGTCAAACAGTCTTGACACATTGTGTGTTATATGGTGTTATACCAGGTTCTACCAGATGCAAAATATTGTGTCGTATGCTCATACAAATTGACAGTGGATGCATTTTACATTGCTAGTCCTTGGGGATGCAAAAAGTATGGTTGTTTGAATCATTACATATAAACAAATTGTTGATACTGTTACAATTGACAATTCTATTCTTGAAAGAAATGCAATCAGGTGGTGACAGTACCTGCTGAGAATGAATGCTTCATGCAATGGCATTGACAAGGAGACTCACTTTCAGCTGAGACCTGTTGTATTGTGTATCGTGTTGTCTGTGGTGTGTGTAGAACATTATCGACTGCTGATTTGCCTGGTTCTGACTACTATGATATTGCTGTGATTTTACTCCTTCAGCATAACCATAAAAACTGTTCACTCACTGACACTTGTGTCTTGTATGGTCAACAATAACAGGTAACCGTTGTCACACCTTGTTCATTTAACTCACCCTAACAGGTATTAACCTCTCCTTGAAAGTTCTAATAAAGTAATTATTGCTTTAATTTCACTTGCAGGTTTAATCAACAGGACCACTGTGTTCCTCTTTTGCTAATTTAATTGGCATCAGTGTCTGAAACTCAGCAGTGTAGACAGAGCCTTAAGGGCCAGCACATATAATAAACTGTAGGCCCAGTGGAAAAATTGTAGGCCCAGTGGAAAAATTGTAGGCCCAAACATTTTAGCTGAAACAGGGAGACATACTCTTACAATATAAATTACAAAACACAAACAGTCAACCAGAAGCTTTTGCTGCTATCAGCTTGTAAAACATCTTTGTGACTACGTGTTATACACCACTTGAAAGGGCTAATCCTACTGTTTATAAATATTAAAGTTATTTTTATTACATTACTTAAATAATTCTTAATATATAATTACTTAAATAAACTGCAGGTCGTAAAGGCATGCTGAAATTTGAAACTATCAGTTCTAAATCAAATCTGTCGGCCTCCATCCTACGGGCCGATGTCTACTTCGAACTCTGATTGACATTAATGTTAATGCATGAACTATCATGAGTTTGATATCATATGCAGCATTACAGCATCATTTTGACCAGTGAACAAAAGTAGGTTGTGTGGCTGTCCTGACCCAGTATGTGCATTTTGAGGACATTTTGAATAGGCTAATAGGACCATGCTTGTTCACAGTGAGTGGTGTGCATGTTACCAAAGGGTGTACATGATGGACAGAAATAAGGAACTGTATTTCTGCAGTATGAAGAAATTGGCATCGGTACGATGAGTGAAAGTGTCATGAGTATCAGGTATCTAGTCTGCCTGACTGTATAGAAGACTTGATAAATGATTATGTGGAAGTTGAAAGTGTTTTAGCTGACTATTTCGACTATTCAGATGAATATTTGGCCTGTTTTAGGGGGGATGGATAAAGCAGTCCTTGAAAACAGGTTTCTGTCCTTGAAAAGTGCTTGAAATTTGACTTTTATTCTGTATGAATCCTGTTCAGATTCAGTCCTTCAGTGTATCATGCTGCAATAGTGTTCATTTATGCTCACTCAGTTACAGCCTATGTCTGATTAAACATAGCGGAGAGCCATGGTACAGTTGTGAGTTGACTGTTAATGGCATCCTTTTAGTAACTTAATTAGGAATTAAGATTAAAGTTCCCACATTCATAAATAAATGAAGTCATTTTGGTCTTGATCTGAATCTAATAGGGATTTGGTGGAGACTCAAGGAAGATTTTGTCTTGGCTCTCATGGTGTGGATTTATGCTCATGCTATCAACCACTGGTTGACCTTGTAAATCCTCATTTGGTCACTCACTTGAACCAGCTTAAACTTCAGTACCGAAAGGAATGTCATGAATAGCAATTTTCATCTTGAGACTTCTCAAGAACACAAGGTCAAACTTTGCTGAAGCCATGGCATGTTGTAGTTCATTGGTATCCGTTTGCTTAACTTCTGAAGATACCTTGCATGGATGATTTTAAGAAGCTAGAATCGTTAGTCACAGGACTATTCCTAATTCTAATAATATTTTGTTTGGTGTGTCTTATGTAATGTTACATTGGATGTATGTTATTGTTGTGAACTCGTGTGTCTTGAATGGTCAACAATAACAGGTAACTTGTCACACCTTGTCGATCAGTAACACAATTGCTTGGCATCAGTCATCCATTCACTGATATCTAAACATTTTTGGTTTCTATGTGATAATTTTAACAAATATTGATGGCATATATACCAACTTGGATTTTAGAAATTCTCTTATACAAGTCTAGTATATAAACAGTCAAGTTGATTAATAATAAGTAGGTTAAATTACCATGCCTGACATTGGCCTGATATAAATATCCAGTACTAGTCAACTAGTGTCTAGGACACATGATTTTCAGTACTAGAGAACATAATATTTAGAAATGTTTCAAGAAGCCAGGAAAAGAAGTCAGTAATGTCCAAATTTGAACAAAATAAAAAATACAAGCTGTCCCTGTTAAAATCTTGGATGATAAATGTCCCACTTTCTGGGTCCATAAACATGCTAATGTTAAAATGTGTATAATGTTAGCTGTAGAACCTCTGTTCATTACCTTTGGGAATGGAATAAGTATTTCCATGCACTGTTGAATAATTAAAATATTTTCTTCTGGAAGAAGGTGATAGTTTGTATTCACTGTTGTTATGATGATAATCCTATATTGAGATATAATGTTAGTAAACTCCCAGTCAGTTACTTTTCACACTTAATGTTCTGACAAAGTGCATCATATTTCATCGCATTTATTGTGGGTAGACTTGTATTCTTTTTCTCTTAATCAAACTAGTTATCTCATGTTGGACTTTATTCGTTTCATTGCATGATAATGACTTTCAGGTTGTCAGCTGTATTCTTTTATTACCACCTCAGTCCTTCACTATATTTTAAGAATTCCTAATCCCCTGGTGTCAGACTGTTTGTTGCTTGCCATGGTGGAAATAGTTTAGCTACCTTAATTGGTAGAATTATCTTATAACCCACTTTGATTCCCCTGATGTTGTGATGAAATATTTTTGGCAGTATCAATCTATGTCATGATAATTTCAGCTGTCAGTTTTATGCCTTTTTTTATGCAGTTAGAAATACTTTAAAAGAAACATATGCTCAAAATGATGGGGAAACATGTCATAGATTTCTGATTAATTTGCTATTGCTCAAACACCTATTGGAATATTATGATGACAGTCTTGATGTGATGAAAATGAAGTTATTTCTTCCCTGATACGATATTGATAGAATACTGTAGCTAAGTTCAACCATGTTGAGACCCCGATTGATCTGGTGATACTAAATAAATATCTGCAAAAACATAATCTCACTAGTTACTTCATGCTGTTTTCTTATGATTATCAGCTCAGTAGTCATGATGATAATAGAAAACAGGTAGACATGTGACAATTTCACAAAAAGATTTGACATTCACACTGATCCATTTGAATATGTAATAGCCATTGAACGCATTCCATTGGAGTGTATTTAAGTTCAAAGAAGGGAGGCCCTTTTCCCAGGTTGATTGTACACAATTGTCTATTTGGTTACACAACTGTTAACTTGGTTCCATACTAGTGTAGAAAAAAAAAAGACACTGCCAGACTGCACTATATTTTAAAAAACATGGCCTGAGAACCAATTTTTTTATTTTTTTCAAGCCTAATTGACATTTCTTTTTATGCCTGTGTATACATTGACATTGCCAAATACAGAAACCACGTATTTAAGTTATTTTGTTGGGTTCACTTTTGGTGAGAACCTGAACAGGTACAAAGAACCAGCAGCATTTACACATGTAAGATTCCTGATTCAAATAATCTATCCCTGTGTCCCATCTGTAAGTCTCCCTAGCTTCTACTATAGAACATACTTTAGGTATGATTTGGTTGGTTGCAATATTACAGATCATGAAGTGAAAGCCATAGGCTATTTTTAACACATGTTTATTTCTTGCAGCATATGTACAACGTCACTACAAAACTGTCAACTTACCCCTGTCGTCTCGGCAACATCATTCCTTTTCCAGCCTTTTCTACCTCAGCACTGATGTGTTTAAAGGTAAGCAGATATGTTTGCTATGTTCTAACAGTAACCAGAGGCACGGTATCATGCATTTACTTCAGCTTGCCATATATCTACTCCTTTAATCAGACATAATTTGAATGCTGTTTCATTGTATCATTTTTCATCCTACTCAGTGAATGCCATTGCTTTTTGTACTTTGCATACATGTATCACTTTTACATTAACAAAGCACAGAACTGTCACAGAGGCGAATGCTTTGACAAACCATCTAAAACATGGGGTTTCTTTTTGTTTTTGATTCTGTAGTGTTTATTTTTCACTGTTTTATGACTCTCACATGAACCATATCATTTAGAATATTTAAGTTGTGGATAGTTATGCTTTTTGCATGTATTTTTTTCATGTTTTACATCTCATGATTCAGCTTATGCATCAGTAGGTGTTTAGTTTCCAAATCTGAGGTCAGGGCTACCAGCTCTTTTGTAAAGAAGATGTGTAGGTCATGTAGAGGAGATATGTTATTTTTTAATACAATCAGAATTAGGTGAGGGGTATAGCATCATACTCTTCTTTCCTATTTTATGTAAATTGTTATTGATGTATATGAGCAGAATTCATGTAATAATAAATAATCCTTTTTGTTTGTGTGTTCCAGATATTGGTATGCATTAACAACACTTTCATTCCTACTCCCTCATATTCCTCTTAATACAAACCCATTTTTGATTTTCTGCCAGATAATCAATAACATGTAATAACAATTCATATGTTTATTATTATAAAACTTAAACTGGTTAATGTGTGTTTCTGGTTTGAAAGAGGTAGATAATTCTTCTAAGAGCATATTTACATTCAGTATGTTAAGATTCATCATTTAATAACAGTAACCAGTGTGAGAAACTAATTTTTTTAAATCACTAATCATTTAATCATGTTTTGGGAAAACCTCTGAAACCTAAGTCATGTCAGTTATTCTTTTTGAGCATTTTATGTTCACACTATTGGAAAGTAATGTCAGTCTCAAGAGCTGAATACCTGGATCAGTCTTAGAAAAGAGCATCCTTAAGTTTCCAGTACTTTTAATGCTAATGATTATGCACTTTCTTCTTGAATTCAATGGACATGTTACCATCAGTGATGTCAATTTTTGATGAAATGTACTATTTGTCATGGTAATTTTCTCAGGTGTTATGGAGTTATTCTAAGTTAAGATCTGCCCAGGGCCCCGTTCCACAAAGCCATCTTAGCGCTAAGATGATCGTAACTCCCATACTTTAGCACTGGCTTACGATAGTTGTAGCGCTAAGATCGCTTTTGTGGAACGGTGCTCAGGGCCCCGTTCCACAAAGCGATCTTAGCGCTACGATTGTCGTAAGTCAGTGTTAAAGAATGGGAGTTACGAATGACTTAGCGCTAAGATCACTTTGTGGAACGGGGCCCTGGTCTTTAAGACAACTGTCCAGCAGAAGTAGTTTCCAACCATTGCCATCACTGTATCTTTATTTAGAGTTTTGCACATCCACGTAAAGCTGTCAAAAACCTTGTAGGATTTCGACCAAAAACCTTTGTTATAACCAAGCATTCTGAGACAATATGATTTTATGACCATCATTACAGCTATCCAATCTTCTAGGCTAGATTTAAAGCCCCATCTGCGGTAGTAACTACCGCACTCTAGTGGGCGGAGCTTATACAAGTGATTTGACAGGTCAATATGACGTCATGATAACACATACATTTCATTGGCTAATGCGTAAACGGGTGACGTCATGTAAACACCCACCCACGTGGGTCGTTTGACAACAAGGACGTAAGTTTTAATGGTAATATAAATATCTACCAAACGATTCCAAGACTTTTCAACAAACGCGTACGTCTTTGGTTTCAAAACCTACCTGCCATGTAGTCTTCACATCTTCATAAAATGATACCGTGGAATGTCCACGATTTATCCAACACACAAATTATAGTTCTAGATCTTTGGACTAGAACGAAATACATTTGTCGTGATGCATATGAGCAGTGTAAATGAAGAAACATAATATGTGTTGGGGCACCAATCGCAATCCTGTGGTGTACGGTATATCTGCAGTTTATAAATAGCATTTCTCACAATATATACAGTAATCGGTGATTTCAACAATGTTTTTCTTCGTTGTGTTCGTCTTGCCTCATCTGGAATCTGGATGACAACGATCGTGTAAAAAACCCTGGTAATGGTCAAAAATATTTTCAAGTGATCAAAGTAGTTTCTTGTCGTTTTTTCATTGCCCAGTAGCAATGTATTTTGGCAAAGTCTCACTTGTCCGATGAAGCTCCTCATGCCGAAGTAACTCGATCCGTGAAACTTGGTGGGTCCCAGTGACCCAGATCCCTGTTGATTGGCATGCCAAGTGTCATTTGCATAAGGCCATCCATATTTTTTGTATGTGTTTCTCCCCTCAAGCCTCAACTAATCAGAGACCGGGCGGACGAAATAAAATATATGACTTATCAAAACATGTCTTTCAATAATTGTGTAAGTTATTTGATGACATTTTAAAAAAAGGTTCAACACTTGGTACTAGAATCTAGTCTATGAATTAATTTATGATGTAGATCGATTCGCTTTGCTTCGGAAACGAATTTTTAATAAACAACGGAACAAAGATAAAGTTGACCTGGTTCTTTTATGACGGTGCAATTGTAGATCTAGTAGTATTTCTTTTATTAGATCGGTGCGCAATTTTCCACAGCGGCAGCAAAATTGAGACACGAAGACATTACATTATTTCACGTCGGAATGGAGATAAAAATATTCAAATACGGACAGCCTCACAGGCTTCGAAACGATGTTCAGATAAATATTTGTTCACATTAATTCTGTCATGTGCGTGAAAATGGGTTTCAACATTACTTTCATCAAGCTTACATTCAGGTCGCTGGCTACTTCGGCATTAACACATGTTTTGTCTCGAAGCTCAAAGAAACAATGTTTCTCTCAGATACATTTTTCTCTCCATCCATGACGAACATCTGTCATAATGTCAATGCCTAAACATTCCTGGGCAGCTGATTTCAACAATGTAATACACACTCATTAACGGCGTCATCGCAAAGATTCCTTCCAAATACCCACCACGTGATCAGGGTTACGACCTTGGGATAAATTAATAAATTATTTTGCATTTTTAGAAAAGATTTGTTTTCGTGAATATTTTTTTTTTTTAAATATCCTGTACATGGTACTTTTGGATTGCACTGGGCATTTCTTTTATTAATTTCTAAAACTTTTTATTTTCGCCTTTCCGACCACGCGATCTCCTAGCAACCACGCCCCATGAGCGCATCGAGTTGCTGCTTACAACTGTCAAGAACTTTGCAATTTCGCTTGTCTTCAATATGAGCAACAAAACATTTTCATGTGAAGCCTAATTTGACGAAGAATTGTTCGAGATAATCAGGGAGCCTTAGGTAATTTCGATTATGACATTGGTGACTTTATCGTGGAGAAAGTTCCAATTCAAGATGACATCATTCCGATTCACAACTCGAATCGACAAGATGGCGCCTCTCTTCCCGCCCTTGCAAGTGCAACAGAAACTTTGATAAATTCAGTGCCGATTATTGGGATTAGTGAATCAGTGTCACAGCTAGATTTCATTGTGGAACCAGATGAAGCCGAATATGTATGTTCACATTTCTTTTGTCAACCATGCGTGACACGGCACAGGCAATCGCAGTTAGGGAATGGTGCGGCCACCATGTTGCAGAAATTCGTCGATTCGAACACATTGCTTCTGGACTGAGGTAAATAAACGAAATGTTTGGAGAGATCGTAGATACTTGGACTTGAAGAAACGGAAATAAACGTTGCAGAAGATGAAGGATCGGTGTGGACAAAACGGGAAAGGGATCCCAGATTATATTTTAAAACTTGTGCGCGAAGTGTATCCAAATACCCCGAACAAAAAATACATGGGACAAGTGTGGATCTAATGATCAAACTCAGTTTTGTGTGTGAAAATTCTGTGAAAGAAAAGGAAATTCATAATTAAAGTTGTCTTGGAATATGTGTATTGGAGTTTTCGTTTATCGTAAGTACAATATTATCTGGATACGCCTTCAGTAGGTCAAAACATCAAGTATATTTCGTTACTTATTTACCAGTTGCTTATGTGCATTGTTATGTTAACGTTGATACAAGTGACATATTCATCTATTGTAGTCAAGCTGAGAAATATTGGCGCAACTTCTGGTGCTTCAAATTAGGCCCCTTCCTAAACACTAGTTTAAAAATCTGTGTAATAATTTAGGTTTTATAAATATAAACTGATTATTGTGTGGCACAAATCTAATTGTTGAATGCAAATGACCAAAACTAAACAAATATCTGTATTTTTCGGATTGAACTCAAAGAATCGCGTCGTCAATTTCGTATTTAAATATCGTTACTGTTACATTAACCGAAACTGATGTTCTGCTGCTGTTCTGCCGTAAAAATATGCAACACAATTCACTTTGACCACAAATGCATTGAATGTGTCACATGTACACATGACCATGTGCTTTGCTATTTATAGCGCAACCGTAAATAAGCTCCGCCCACTGTGATTGATGCAGACGCCAAACACGATCGATACGATTTTTTATGATAAAACTACAGAAAATCTATTGACTTATATCTTGATATGGAGCCATTTGTTGTATCCATGGTTTGTCATTCAAGTTGACACGAAGTTTGACGGTCAATGGTGATCTGGTTCCCTTATGGTTTTCAAAAAACGTCTCCCGACACTCGGTTGTGTTTACATTGTCAGTCATTGTTCGAAACTGAAACACCGCCACCTTGCGGGCTATTTATAGTCAGGGTGGGGCTTTAAGAGGACCTGGCTTCACTCATCTAACCTGGATTTAGTACTGAATTTCAGGATAGACATATTTCACTCTTAATCATCAGCTGACAGCTGCGAATGTTGACTATGATTGCTCCACAAAACGCGTATCCTGACAAGTTCTTTAATGCACAACTGAAATTCAGTGACGTATCCATTATCTCAATCTTGATTTGACTGTTCAGATAGACTGAATATGCATATCCTAGATTATACAGTGATGACAATCTTCCACAGATCAATCATATTATAAAGATTTGGGTTTCTGGGAATATTTTAGAACGTAGTTTTAAGCCATTTGACACCCTTGATGAATTCCTTGATCATTGTTTGACGATGCTATGTCCTGCTGATTCAGGGTAATGGTTGCAACACTTCTAAGAAATACATAATACTGGAAATCTAAGGATGCATAAACTAGATATGACATTTCATTTACAGTTTGTCTGCTTCAAAATGTGTGTCAAATGTTACTAATGTCACAATTAATTATGTTCCCATTCACACTCCTTCAACTGCTTGCTCAAGCTGCTTAATAAACATAATATATATGTTTTTATTTTTCAAGCCACTAGACCTAAAATGATTATTTTATGAAATAAATAGCCATTTAAGAAAGAAATAATATTTATATTTCTACAACAAGAACTGCTCAAAGAGGATTGACAATCATGGAGATTTGTCCAGGATAGGAATCAGCTAGTCATTGAGTTACGGTCAATTCCAAAGAATTGGTTTTCACTTACATGTACTTATTGTAACCATGCTTGATGTTGATTTGTTTTTA